TTTACCTACCCTTCTGTTAAATCTGCCATTCGTGGGTCCCTTCTGACAAATGTGTCCCAGGTGATTCCTATTCTCTCTGTGCTGCCAGTCCCTTTACCTCCCTGACGATCCCTTTCTATTAACTGCATGATTTAACATCTCCAGCCTGGACCCCTCTCTTGATTCCAGACAGTCATAGCCACTCCGTACCTGACATTCTCAGAATGAGCATCTCTGAAGACCTCCCCGAAACATGACTCCAACCTGCCAGCTGCCTGGGGAGACACTAGGCATCATTCTCGCCTCTCCCTCTTTCCCCCCTACACCACATCCATTACCCCAGAAATCAAATCCAGTTTGTTTTATCTTTATAATGTGTCCAAAATAAGTGCCCGCTCTCTCTGGTTTGAGCCAGCCTCACTTCCTGTATGCAGTAGGCATCACTTCCCTTCCCCATCTCAGTCGTGCTGTCATGGACCCACTCTGGACCGGTCCTGAGCAGAGCAGCCACAGGAATCCTAGTGAAAGTAAAGTTCAATCATATCTCCGCTCTCCTCATAGGCTTCTGATTGTTTCATTTTCGGGAAGGCTCATATTGTCTGCACCATGACAGGGTCTGTACCCCCACTGGGTGTCCACTCTCTCTGGGTCTTTTCCCCCATGAGGTCTGCATGCCCACAGGGTCTGCCCCATCTTCCCAGCATCCCCACCTGCTATGCTCTCAACCGTGGCCACCTGTTTCCATGAAACACCAAGCCAGCTCCCACGTCAGAGCTCCTACACTCTCTGCGCCTTCTTTTCCTTTTTCTTGGAGCAACTTTCTCTGAGGCAAACACAGAATCTGGCTTGTCAGTGTCTCAAGTCTTTACTCCACTCAAATGTCCTCATACACTTGGTTGTAGAACATGCTCCCCAATATGTCACATGCTGCTTAGTCTACATGGTTTTGTTAGAAGAACAGTTTCTACCCAACATGCTTTATATTATTTCTTGTTTATTTCTTTTGATTTCTATCCTTCTTGTCTCCAGAGTGACATCTTCTTGATGACAGAGATTTTTTTTTTTTTGCTGTGTTCACGGATCCCCCCTGACACCTACAATATAGTGATGTGTCATGAGTACTTGTTGAAGGAATCTATAAATAACTGAATATTACTTCACTCAAAACCATATGAGACTCTCACTCACACACACGCATGTGGACATACACAGCTGGATGGCATTTACTAGTGAGCCTGAAAGTGACCAGGACTTGGAGATGCAGGAATGGGGAGTGAAGAACATTTCCGGAGATGGAAAGTCACATGCACAGTCTCAGAGTCATAAAACACCTACCCTGGCTGGGTGTGGAGAAGTTGCAAGATGCAGGGAGAGGTGGGGTTCTGGGTGGAGAGCCCAGAAGGGGACCGACCATGCCAAGTCTTCAAATCTAGACTGTTTGCACCTTGGTCTTGTCCATGGAGAGAAATCAGAGCTCTTCATAATGTAGAGGAAATGGACAATAATGGTGTCCTGATACTCAGTCTGGAGACCTGTGTTGAGGAGAGAGAGAGGCAGGAGGCAGGTGGGTTAGAGGCTCAGAAGTGACCACAGGAACAAGCAGGGTCAGGTTGGGGAGGAGATGAACATCAGGATGAGCAGGAGGAAGGACGGACAAGATCGAGTGATGTGTTGGATCAGGCAGAAGGGAGGGAGGTCACAGTGGAGAATCACACCCCAGTTCTGGCCTTACAGATGGGGGCCAGGTCATCTCTGCGGGGGAGTCCCAGCCAGAAGTACTTTTGGGGCAATTGGCAGCTCAACTTGGCCATGATGAATGGCGTAGTCCTGGGACCGTCCTGGAGGAGGTGTTGGTGGGATATTGGGTGGTGAACTGCCCACATCACTCACCTGAACGATTAACTGGGTATGGTATTTGCCTCCTCCATGCCCCCTGCAGGTCTGGTTGTCCCCTTCCTGAGGAATCTCATTCTGAGAGAAGACACCAGGGTTTTTCAGTTTGGACTTGGGGACGCATGGTGAACTTACTCACCCCTTGTTCCCAGTTAAGGGCCTGGAGGGCAGACTGAGGTGGGGGAGCGCAGGTCTGGCCCCAAGGATGGCTGTGAGCAATGCAGGCACAGCCCATCCTGGACACTCTGTGGGATCCTCACACCTGACTGGTTTCCCACCTGCTCTGCCTTCTCACCTGTTCCGTCCCTCCTGTCCTGGTTCTGGGACTCAGCCGCATGACCCCACCCTCCCCATGCTTCCCCTCCCCCTGGGGCAGTGCTCACATGAGGATGGTGAAGCAGAGGAGGAGGAGCAGAGCCTTGACAGTTGTTTCTCCAATGACCACCAGAACCACCTGTGTCAGGGACCCTGATTTTCCTGTAAGAACATGGATGAGGATGAATTCCTGTGCTTGATTGCAACCCTGAGTCCTCTGCTCCCTGCAGGGCTCTGGACATTGGTTCTCAAGTCCTTCTTGCACCATTGGATGGAGGACCACTTGTGCCTGGGCCTCACCCCACCCTGTGCCCTGGTTTTCCAGCAGGAGGATGGGGAAAATATGCATAAGTGGGACTTCACTGAAATGAATCCTTTTATTCATGTTAGCCCTACTGAGAAAGTAAAGAGCCAACCTACTGAGTGGGAGAAAATATTTACCAGTGATAGATCTGAGAAGGGAGTAGTATCCAACACATATAAAGAACACCTACAACTCAACAACAAAAACTCAAACAACTCAATTTAAAAATGGACATTTGCAACAATGTGGATGGAACTAGGGTGTATTATACCAAGCACAATAATCAGTCAGAGAAAGACATCATATGATTTCACTCATATGTGAAGTTTAAGAAACACAACAGGTGAAATAAGGGAAGGAAAGGAAAAAGAATATAAAAACAGAGAGAGAGGCAAACCCTAAGACACTCGTAAAACCAGAATATACTGAGGTTGCTGGAGGGGAGGTGCTGGGGAGCTGTGCTAGATGGGTGATGGGCATTAAGGAGGGCACTTGTTGGGATGAGCATTGAGTGTTATATGCAAGTGATGAAACCCAAAATATTCTCCTGAAACCGTTTTTACAGCATGCATTAACTAACTTGGATTTAAATTTAAATTTAAAATAAATATGTCTGGAATAGGGTCCAACAACCTGCACTTTACAGATTTACCAGGAGATTTTCCTGCTCAGTAGCATTTGATAATCACCCTCTTAAATGACATGTAAAATTTTACGGTAGCAAACTCAAAAATACACCAATAAAACACACAAAAAACTAATAATATAAAATAAAAATAGGCACAGGACTTTAAAAACTTCTTCAGAGAAGATATACAAATGACAAATACACCCCCCCCCCCAAAAAAAGGAAGGACATCATTAGTCATTACATAAATACAATGCAAATACAATGTAAATCAGACCACACAGAGATACTCCTTCACACCCACTGGTAGGCTATCAGTATTTTTGAAAGGAAAATAACATCATTGGTAAACATGTATAGAAATTGGAACCTTCCCACACTGCTGGCGGGAATGTCAAATGGTGTTGTCACTGTGGAAACCAGTGTGGTATTATTCTCAGAAAGTTAAGACAGACAAACTACCTTTTGAGCTAGCATTTACACTCCTAGACAACGCCCAAGAATCGGAAAGCGATGTTCAACAACAAGGTGCCCTCTGATGTTCATGGTAGCATTATATTAGCCCCAAATAAAAACCACCCAGATGTCCTTTGACTCATAAATGAAAGGACAGAATGTGGTATATCCATACAATAGACTATTATCCAGACAAAATGGAATTAGTACTCACACATGCTCTATGGATGATCCTTGAAAATGTTTTCTCAAATGAAAGAAACCAGACGCCGAAGGCCATCCTTGGAGGGATTTCATTTAGTTGACATATCCCCAGTGGGCAAATCCACAGAGAAGGAAGGCAGATTTGTGGTTTCTGGGGGTGGGGAGGAGGGGGAACGGGGTGGTCCCTGCCTAACAGGCACGGGGTGTCCCTTTGGGGTGATGATATTGCAGGGTGGGTGGGATCAGGTAGTGGTGATGGTCGCACAACACTGGACATACTAAAAGCCACTGACTGTGCACTTTAAAATGGCCACAATGGAGAATTACCTTTTGGTGAATTTTTCCTCAAGGAAATAATAATGCATATCCATAAAAATTACTGTATGGAGAGATCGCTTCCCACTTGGTACTGGCAAAGATCAAAAAGGTTCACCTCATTCTGGGTTGGTGGAAACACACATTTTTCACCCTGGCTGTTGGGAATATAACCTGTCCACCCTCCGTAGAGTAAACTTGGCCATGTCTCTCCAAAGTAGAAAGAACATATGATTCTGCGATTCTGGTTCTAGGAATTTACCCCATAGACCTAACTAAACTCACATACACACATGGAATGAGATATAAGGTTATTGATTGCAGTGTTTCTGTTAGTTGGAGTAAAATGAATGCCACGATTTTCCATCAGTAGAAGATGCACGCAGAAGAGAACCCCCGTGTGAAGGGTACCGCCCGTCACAGAGCAGAAAGAAGACTGCTGATAGCAAAGGACCTGAATCCTTCGTGCAAACCCAGCGATGCTCAGAGCAGCCTGCGGACACTGGGCATTTGCCAGGGGGGACTGCGCATCCGAGGACAGACTCTGCTGTGCATTCTGAATACTTGTCCATGTGAATACGTTACTTGTTCAAAAGTATTAAATAAACGACTGTTAGGGAAAATAAAAGCCAGGGCGTGAGGAGTCATCAGTAGATGCCTGATAAGGGGCTGGGGAGGCAGACCTCCCAGGTGCATGTGGCCCTGTTCCAGTGCTTCTCCAGATAGCAGGGGGGAGAGCAGACGTGGGGGAGGGAGGGGCCGATGGGGACCGCTTCTCACAAGGCATGGGGGCTGGCGGGAAGGGGAGGGACCACTGGGCCCATCCATGGGGGTTTCTGCTCCCCAGAGTCAGTGAGAATGAGGCAGGGACCTGGCTCTGCCCTGAGCTTGGAAGGGCCCCAGTGACTACAGCCCAGGAGGAGGCTGCTTCCTACCTGTGCTGTGTCCCAGGCCGACACCAAATGTTGGGTTCTCTGTGGCACCTAGGATGGGAGGACGGGATTTCCCTCTTCAGGGGGGCGGGGTGATGTGAGATACACGTAGACCTCCCCCCATCCCCAGAAGCCACAGAAACACATGAGGGACAGGGCTTGAGTCCTTCTAGGTCCCCTCCTCAGCCAGGCCTTCAGGACTAAAGCACCAGCATCAGCATCCAGACCTGAACTGCCCACCCCTCACCCCCTCTGGCACCCAGGTCATCCTGGCCCCACACTCACAGGTGACATTGAGCTGGATGGTCCTTGCCACCATCACACCAGCTGCAGGGAACAGCACCTGACAGGTGAGGTTGGTGCCATTGTCTTGGGGCTGTGGGGTGAGGTTGAGCACTGAGGAGAAGTGTGACCTGGGGTCCCGGCACGTGAGGGCAGCTGACGTCCAGGAGAAGATGGGGGGTGTGCCCCGCTTACAAGCCCAGGGCACAGAGCAAGTTAGGTTCCTGGGGCATCCAGACTCCAGGGTCCCTGAGATGAGGATGTCAGGTGTGTGGGTCAGGGCTGGTGAGATGGGGAGACAGGGCATCAGGAGGAGGGTGAGGTGCAGCCCTGAGAGAAGCCTCAAGCTTTGGGCCAGCTCCTGCCTCTGCGCCCCAACATGTGTTGCTCCCAATCCTTCCCAGGCTGTCCTGGGACCCCCCCAACCTTCCCCTGTGGCCTCTCCCTCAGTCTGCTCCTCACCTGTCACACGCACGGAGAGCTGGTTCTGTAGGTAATTATGTTTCACATAAGACCCTTTCTCCACCCTAAAGACGTATGTCCCCGAGTCCCTTCTCTGTGCGTCTCTGATGTCCAGGGAGCAGTTGTAATCTTCAGGGTTTCCAAGGAGGCGGAATCGGCCGTGGGTCTCTGGTTGCACTTTACGGTTGGGGTTGTTCGTGGCCACTGGAGCACCGTGCCCTGTATTGGTCCCTTTCCGGAACCAGTATCCATGAACTGGGTAATATTTAGTATATTGGACCTGGGGGTAAGAGAAATCGCAGGGCACCAACACACACAGGCCCTCCTGCACCGTCACGGCCTTCTGCACTCGCAGCTGGAATCCGGAATCCTGAGCCTGGGAGCCTGCGGGGAATCTGGGGTCAGTGGCAGCCCCCGCCCGCCCAGCCCTCTCCCCTCGGCTCACTCACCGGCCCACAGCAGGGACAGCAGCAGCAGCAGCAGCATCTTAGAGGCAGAGGGTGTCCCGGCTTCCTGTGGGTGAAGGAGAAGGGGAGGCAGAGGGAAGGGGGCCGAGGAGGACCCACGGGAAGCCAGGGAGGAGCATGAAGCTGCATGATTTCACAAAGAGGAACAACAGCTGCGGAGCTCACTCCCTCTCTGCGAGGAGCCTGTGACACCCCTCAGCCACAGACCTGGGAGACCCACTCAGCGGGGAGAGACCAGGACCAGAACCCCCCGTCACTCCACTCTGTCGCCTGAGCCTGGTTCACAGGGATGTGGGTCCTGCCCGTGGGGGGCCTCGACTCTGCTGGAGGCCTGTCCTGATGGGGAAAAGTGGTGTCTGAGATCTGCTCACACGAGCGCAGGAGAGTGGGTGTCCCGCTGCTCAGGCTGTCGTCCCACCTGCTCTGGGGACGCAGTCGCTTCTGGCCTGGCCTGAGTTACTGCTGCTGTGGTGTCCACACCTTTTATTCTTTTTTTTTCCCCCCAGAATAAGAAAGGCTTTATTTTTAAGTCAAAACAAATAGCACAAACATAGACCTGTTATTCTTTTTTTTTTAATGTTTTTATTTATTTCTGAGTGAGAGAGAGAGACAGCGTGAGCAGGGGAGGGTCAGAGAGAGAGGGGGAGACACAGAATCTGAAACAGGCTCCAGGCTCTGAGCTGTCAGCACAGAGCCCGACGCAGGGCTTGAACCCACAAACTGCGAGATCATGACCTGAGCCAAAGTCGGACACTTAACCGACTGAGCCACCCAGGTGCCCCTAGACCTGTTATTCTTAAGCAGGGGTGTTCCCCCCCCACCAAGCCAGGGGACCGTTGGCAGTGTCTGGGCACATTTGATTGTCACAGCTTGGGATGAAGGAGTGTCTGGCATCTAGCGAGTTGAGACGAAGGATGCGTCTAAACATCCTCTGATGTGCAGGATGGCTCTCACTGCAAAAAATCCTCGGCGCCAAGGTTCAACAGTGCTGAGGCTCAGGAGGCTGGTCTAGGGGCGCCTGGGGGGCTCTGTGGGTTAAGCGACCAACTTCGGCTCAGGTCTATGATCTCAGGGTTCGTGAGTTCAAGCCGTGCGTCGGGCTCTGTGCTGACAGCTGGGAGCTTGGAGCCTGCTTCAGATTCTGTGTGTGTGTGTCTCTCTCTGCCCCTCCCTGACTCACACTCTGTCTCTATCTCTCAAAAACAATTAAAAGATATATATATATATATATATATGTGTGTGTGTATAAAAGCTTCGTCTAGAGCCAAGAGGCATCAGTTTTGCCAGCATCGGGTCCTGGAGGTTCTGCATGAGACCAGCCCGTGAAAGATGAGAAAGGGTCTTGGGTGACACGTAGAAGACAGAGGCTCATTCACTCGCTCAACGGGTCCAGGGTGAGAGTCTGCCCTGTGTCAGGGCTGGAGGTACGAGGAGACACAGCAGACCCAGATCCTGCCCTTGAGATGCTCCCCACTGGGGGCCGAGACACAGGGCCCACAGACACCTGCCTGGGAGAGGCCAGGAGGCTCTGTTGGCAGGTGCTTCGGGGGCACGAATGACCCGAGCGCACATGGCCTGGACTCTCAGGGGACGGGAAGGAAGGTTCCTCACCGTGGGACTCTGCTGTGGGCCCGAGGTCAGTGCAGAGGCAAAATCAGGCAGAGCAGTGCAAGAGCTGCTCGCACCTCCCCGCTGCGGTTCCCCCGCTCATGTGACCCGTGGCACTTCACCAGGCCCTGGGGGGCCTCCGTTCTCGCCCCCCCTCCACTGTGCTCCCTGCCCGGCCACGTTGCCATGCTGGCGGCCCTGCTGAAAGCCACGCCCACACCCACTGAAGGTGTCAGCTTCAGGCAGTGCAGACGCCTAAGAGCTTTCCGGACGCTGCCAGCTCCTTGCCGATGGACATCTGTGAGCCCAAAGCCGTGCGGGGGCTGGGCTGGGAGGCCGACACACGGACCCCGAACTCAGGGAGGCCCAGGTCCTGCCCAGCTGGGCCCTCGTGGGCAGAGGTGCAGGGAGTGTTCAGGCCCTGTGAGCACAGGCTGCAGACGATGGGATCTTCAGCCGCCATTACCCCTTCCTTCTCCTATCTTTGCCCGCGTCTGTCACCCCAGGGCCTCTGTGCCCCAGCCACATGCAGGACAGGCCCCGGGCCCATCCCCTGGAAGCTCCCCCCACATGCCTGTCCTGCCAACAGCAAGACAGAAGACAGACAGACTTGCTCTGTGTCCCTGAGGGTGCCTGAAGCCGAACCTGAGAATAAAGTTGAGCCATTGGGTCCTGTCTTCAGCTGAGCTGAAGATCACTGTGTCCCTTCCACCGTCCTCTCTCGTACCCGCTGGGGTGGGGGGGGCTCCCCAGAGACCGGCTTCCTGAAACTCACTCTGCACAGACAGGCAGGGAGACCTGGGCGCCCAGCATGTGAATTGCCATCTCCAGCTCCCACCCAGGACAGCTCCCACCCAGGACAGCTCCAGGACCCCAGACGCCGAGGCACTGGAGCGGCTCAGGGTGTGGCCCTCCCAGACCTCTTAATAACCCCTCTGCACCTTATCGGTGAGGGAGGGCTTCCTACCCGAGGGTGATGGGGAAGCTGCACGTGTGACCCCCACTGTTGAACAAAAGACATCAATAGCAGTTTATCAGTCACACATTCACTGCCTGGGAGGATGCACACAGTGCGGGCTGCACCCAGGGACACGGCAGACAACCAGGGCGTGTGGGAGCCAGCTCTGCCCCAATGAGGGAGTGGTGACTCATGCGCGGCCGAGCTGGAGGATTCCATGGGCTGGTTTGAATAACTCTACGGGCTGAAAGGGAACTCTTCTTTCTCCGCCCAGCCTTCCATGATAGGGACGCCAGGGTGGCTCCATCGGTGAAGCGGCCGATTTTGGCTCAGGTCACATCTCACTTTGGTGAGTTCTAGCCCTGTGTCAGACTCCACGCTGTCCACACAGAGCCTGCATGGGATTCTCTCGGTCTCTGCCCCTCCTCCACTCTCTCTTTCTCTCAAAATAAATAAACATTTTAAAATAATCAAATAGGGGCGCCTGGGTGGCTTAGTCGGTTAAGCGTCCGACTTTCGCTTAGGTCATGATCTCGCGGTTCGTGGGTTCGAGCCCCGCGTCGGGCTCTGTGCTGACTGCCAGCTCAGAGCCTGGAGCCTGTTTCAGTCTGTGACTCCCTATCTCTCTGACCCTCCCCTGCTCACGCTCGCTCTCTCTCTCTCTCTCTCCTAGAAATAAATAAAAATATTTTAAAAATAATAAAATAAAAAAATAATATAAAATAGAACAAAATAAATGAACATAGACCGGGGGTGCTTGAACAGCAGACATTTATTCTTCACAGCTCTGGGGGCTGGGAAGCCTGAGATTACACTTGGTTCCTGGTGAGAACATGCTTTCTGGCCCATAGGAGGCCATGTTCTCACTATGTCCAGACATGACCTTTCCTCTCTGCAAGGGTATGGGTCACCGAGGGAAGGAAGGGGGGAGGGAGGGAGGGAAAGGGATCGCTCTCTCTTCCTCTTTTTATAAGGCCACCAATCTCAGGACTCCACTCCTATGACCTCATTTAATCTTAATGATCTCTGAAAATACAACCACATCGGGGGTTGGGGCTCCATTATATGATTTCCAGGGGTGCAATTCAGCCTCCATCGTTCAAGTTCCTTGGGGTCCCCCCGTTCCCTCCTTGTCCTCTCTGTGGGCAGCTTCGTGTCCGCCACATGCAAAAAGAGCAAGCCAGATAAGTAATTATATTCTGCATCTCCTCTTTTCACTCAAAAGACTTAGGTCTCATCTTCCATCATCTTGTCAACGAAGCTCAGGGCACAGTTACATCTCCCGGGGCCTCCGAGGAGGTGGAAGCGTCCCAGAGTCACGACCTGTCATAGGCGGTCCACGTGGGTCGCGGCCACTGGGGCTTCCTGACCAGGCTTGTCCCTGCTCTGGCACCAGTAGCCGCCCCGAGGGTAGGAGACGGTGCAGGGCGTGGGGGCTCACAGCTCTCTCGTATCATACTTCCGATTCTCAGCCGGGGACCCCGGGAGGGGGTGGTGAGGGTGCTTCAGCCCCCATGCCGTAACTCCTCACCCCTGGATGGCAGGGACGGCTGCAGCTCTGGAAAGAGATGGGCCAAGCGCTTTGCTGGGGTTTCCTCTCTCAAGGAATCCTGAGGAAGTCCCGGCAGCAAGGTGAAGTGACGTTGATGTATGTGCGCAGAAAAGGAACTTCAGCCCTGTTCTCTATCAGAGCTAGGCTGTCTCAGGAGATTGTGCTCTCTCGCCCTTTCAGAGGAGGCTTCTGAAGTTCAGAGAGGGCAACAGACGTGCGCTAAGGCACCTGGGAAGGCCAGACCGGCTCCCTGTCTCCCGGCTGCCTGCCATGTCCTGACCTTTGGAACCTGCTCTCCACATAAAGGACCAAGGTGCTGTAATGGGCAGGCATCAGTGAGTCATATGATTTTTGCTGAGGATTAGTTCTGGAGCGGCCCAAGGTGGAGTTAAAGGCAGAAGGGTATGGAAGAACCCCGAGTGAGTTGATACGGGAAGACTTCCATGCATTCGTTTATTCAACAAAACAAAGTGAGCACATTCACTGTGTCAGGGGCTGCAGTTAAGATCTGAACTCACTTCTCCCTGCTCAGTGGAGTGGTCCCTAGGCAATTCTGGAAATTTCATGACAGGGGCAAGAGCCAGGAAGCCAGGCGAGGTGGGGCTTTTCTTCCAGGTTTTCGCCTGGTTCACCAGGCACTGGATCCTAACATCTGTGTTTTGAGATGACAGTATCCTCCCATCTCCTTGGTCACGTTGCTGGCCTTTCTCCTTCCCCGCACGAGGGCGGGGCCAGCCCAGTGCTCAGCACAGGCATCCGGAGTGAATGCTTGAATGAACCGATGGAGGCTGTTCCAACCCACAGGGCAAGACTGTTCCCGACCCGGCTTCCCAAGGCAGTCTTTTCCTTACGGATAGTTTCGCTTACCTCCTCTTGTCATGGTTTACATGCGGGGCTATTTCTCCTGTTTGTCACATACTCTGAGGAGCCTGTACCTGTGTGTGCGAGCCCAGAGCTGCCTGACATCACCCAGCATTGTCTGTTCTGTGGTTGGAAGAACAATTATGTGTGGTAGGAAATGGGCTTGTGCAATGACATTTGTTACAAAATATCCTATTACCCCGGATAAAAAGCCAACTTCTCTCCTTGCAGAGGTTCCTGGAATGTTACTTTTAAACAACTTCCCCCTAATGCTGAGCAAGTCAGGGAGCCGGGAAACAGCTCACCCACAGAGGACAAACAAGTGTCCTTGATTGTTGAGACCATCCTATTCCAGTGGGAATCTGCAGAGGCAGAAACGCAGGTTGTGGCCACCAGAGGGCACTCGAGATTCCTCAATTTCCTGAGGTAGTAATGATCCCTTTCCTTTTTTTGTTTTTTGATCCCTTTTTAACAGCAATCATGAGATTCACAGCTGTCATATTCTTTTTTTTTTTAAGACAGCACCTATTGTGCCTATTGAGGTACAATCACTGTACCAAAAAATGGCACATAATAACGTGCCATTTGAACTTAATCATGTACCTGTAAAATCATGACCACCATCCTGGCTACAGACATTCATACCACCTCTCAAAAAACTTTCCTGTGCCTCTATGCTTTTTGGTTTGGTTTGGTTTGGTTTTGTCTGTTTATTATTGGTATCATAAAAATAAGTTATATATATATATATATATAACTTAACATGAGCACTTGACTCTTGATTTTGGCTCAGGTCACAATCTCACAGTTTGTGAGTTTGAGCCCCTCTCCTTCTCTCTCTCTGCTCCTCCACTGTTCGCTCTCTCTTTCAAAAATAAATAAAACTTTTAAAAAGTATTTTTAAAAAAGAATAACTGTGACTAAAACAATTTGTTAATGGATGCTTAATGTGAAAAGATGTAAATTGTGACATCAAAAATATAAAGTGTTGGGGTACCTGGGTGGCTCAGTCGGTGGGCGTCTGAGTTTGGATCAGGTCATGCTCTCACAGTTCATGGGTTTGAACCCCACATCAGGCTCTGTGCTGACAGCTCAGAGCCTGGCGCCTGCTTCAGATTCTGTGTCTCCCTCTCTCTCTGACCCTCCTTTGCTCACACTTGATGTCTCTCTCTCTCTCAAAAATAAATAAAACATCAAAAAAATTAAATATAAAGTGTTGGAGGGGTTGAAGTGTAGAGTTTTGTATGTGATTAAGTTAAGGTGCTCTCTGGTTACGACAGACGGTTACAACACTCGGATATTTCATGATCTCCTTTTCTAGAGAGTAGACGGAGCTCCTGCTAGAGCCAGGATTTGAATCTCATCTTCCTGTCTTTGGAGCATCTGTTTTTGGGAATCTCCAAATTCCCAAACCCCAGAAATTTAGAAAATATATTGGGAGGGACACCTGTGGTTATTTAATGTGTAAGTAGTGACGTGGCCACCAGGTCTGGGGCTCCTGTCTTTATATGTCTCTGCCTTTGAGTCCCCTTTGGAATTCAGGACATAATTTGACCTGGCTGCAGATGAGGCGGGTTCCAGGGTTCATAGGATGGAGGCCCTATCACTCTCCTTGTTTTGGTTTGTTGTTGTTGTTGCTGCTGCTGTTGTTTGGTGTTGCTGATTTTACTCTGCCTGGCTTCTGTTCACAGTTCGTAAAGGTAGTAGCTATAACGCCCACGGTGCAGTTTCCTGCAGAAACTGGGGTCTCTGCGCTTCTCCGCAGTCCCACGGCGCCCCCTAGCGGCGGCGCAGCTCTCTCAACGTTCCCCGCCGCGTTAGGGCGCCCTCTACTGCTCACCCAGAGAGTTACCCGGATCCCTGCACCAGCCACCTCCTCCCTCCATCTCTCTCAAGTCGTCGGCTTTCACACCAGCCTCTCCCTGGCACCTGGCTCCCATCCTGCCACCGAGGCCAAACTCTGTGACAGTCTCGCTACACAGGAATAATAAAAGAGAAATAAGTATTATTATGATCAATGTCGTTATTATCCGTGTTATCGTTATTGTTATTTTCCCATTCTTCTTTCTTCTCTGGGAGCTGATGGGGTCTTCTGCCTCCTGAGCTCTCTAACCCTAACCCCATGAGGATGTAGACCCAAAACAGGGTTGCCATGATTCACAACTTTGGCTCGCCCTGGTTATCTGACACACTTGGGGTAATGAGTTTGCCCAGACAGGGCCACAGGGACAGGGCTGGGAGTGTCACGGCTCCCTCTGGTTTGCAGTTCCCCAAAGATCCACGTTAGCGTTCCCTGTGGCCTCCAGGCCTCGTGAGCAGGGAGGAGCGGATGTTTCCCAGTGTCCACTCTGGCTGCACCCGGCAGAACCTTGCCCTGGGAGTGGCTACTGCCACCCGCCCCCAGGTGAGCACGGGGGCTAAGGGGAGATACGCCCAGTAGTGGCATGCCTTTCTGGAGGGAGTCAATGCCCCAACATCTGTCAGACTTCACAGTTTAGGGATGTTCAGGGGCTGACAATGTAGGAAGCCCACCATTCCTTTATTTTATTTTATTTTATTTTATTTTTTTGAGAGAGAGACAGAGAGACAGAGAACGAGTGGGGGAGGGGCAGAGAGAAAGGGAGACCCAGAATCCGAAGCAGGCTCCAGGCTCTGAGCTGTCAGCACAGAGCCTGATATGAGGCTTGAACTCATGAACCATGAGATCATGACCTGAGTCGAAGTCGGATGCTTAACCCACTGAGCCACCCAGGCGCCCCCTTCCCACCATTCCTAAATAAAGAGATGGGGTTTCAGATGAGATACTTCAAGTTATAGGGGATCCAGGACGGAATGAGAGTGAGTCTCTGAAGCCTGAGGTATGTGCCAAGGCTGCAGCCACCTCTTGAGGGTAGGGGCCTCCTGAGGGTCTCCCTGCATTAAAGCTTAGATTCTCACTGTGGGCTCTGAGTGAAATCAGTTCTGCCATACTGGTCCCGATTTACTGGGCCAAGCATCATTGGCTACGTACAATCTGGATACAAGGGAGGGACATCCGCCTGCAATGATATGGCACAAAGCTCAGCTGGATAAGGATGTTTCGTGTTGAGGGATATCAAATAGATCCAATCAGATGGTCTCTCTGGGCAGAAGTTGCTGGTCTCCTACTATTAACCATATCCCTTTTTCCTTCATAAGGACAAAAGAGGTAGTAAGGGCACAAGCCCTTAATTAATGGGTAATTTAAGTACCTCTGAAGATTTTTGTTGTTAGGTCATACAATTGAAGTGTTTTTTAAAACTCTGGGGTCTCTGGGTGGCTCAGTCAGTTACACGTTCAACTTCAGCTCAGTCATGATCTCGTGGTTCGTGAGTTAGAGCCCCACGTCAGACTCTGTGCTGACAGCTCAGAGCCTGGAGCCTGCTTTGGATTTTGTGTCTCCCTCCCTCTGCCCCTCTCCTGCTCATGCTGTCTCTCTCTCTCTTTCGAAATTAAATAAACATTAAAATATGTTTAATCTATAAATGCAGTTTAAAATGTTTTTTCCCTAAAAGTTGAGTAAGACATAAAAAGGCTTTTTAACTATGCCCATTGAGATTAACATTTCCTGAAACTGTGTGCAAGGCACTGGTCACAGTCATTTTCATATATTACCTCATTTAAAGCTCATAACAGCCCTATGAAGAGGAAGCATTTTACAGGTGGAGATAGTGAGGCTTAGTGAAGAAAGTCACTTGATTGAGATGACATGGCAGGTAGGTGCTAGATTCGAATTTGAGCCCAGCCAGTGTGAGATTCTCTCTCTCTCTTTTTTTAATTGTTTTTTTTATTATTTATTTTGAGAAAGACAGAGAGAGCATGAACGAGAGAGGGGCAGAGAAAGAGAGAGAGCGAGAATCCCAAGCAGGCTCTGTAAGGTCAGCACAGAGCCCAATGCAGGGCTCGAACGTACGAAACCGTGAGATCATGAACCCATCCAAAATCCAGAGTCAGACACTTAACCAACTGAGCCATCCAGGTGCCTCTGGGATTCTCTCTTAACCACAGAGTCTGTTCCAGAGGACATCCATATGCCCACCTTCACTTGTGACATCATTACAAGTTCAGGGTGATCAAGACAACCCTCCGTTTCTATCACTCACGAAGGACTCACAACACACTGAAAGCTATTATCCTTGTAGTTAGGGCTCATTACAGCATGAGGATACAGATTAGTGTCACTGAAGGGTAAAGGGTATGAGTTGGGGTCCCGGAGAATCCCAAGACTGGCGCTTCCACTTGTCTCTTCAGTGGAGTCATGGACAGCATTAGCTCCTCCCAGCATGGCATTGTGACAGTGTGCTGATCAGGGAAACTTGTCAGAGCCTTGACATCAGAGTTTTTATTAGGGCTCTGTCACAGAGATATGATTCACTGCTCACATGGCTGACCTCAGTTTCCATCCCTTCCAAGGATAGAACTGATACCATGAGACCCAAAGCCTTCATCATAATTTCCACTGTAGACTATCTAGTGTGTCCCAAGGACCCCACGTAAATAAAGACACTCTGAGGACTTAGAGATTCCTTCTAGGAGTCAAGGACAAAACCAGGTCTGTCTTTGGCTAAGATTAAATTCTTTATTACAAAAGTCTGTTTCTGGGAGTTATCCAGCTCTACAAATGGGACTGGCCAAAAGTTGTTATACTGCTGTTTGTATAAAAAGAGAAAATGTTTGAGGCACCTGGGTGGCTTAGTCAGTTAAGTATCTGACTTTGGCTCAAGTCATGATCTCACAGTTTGTGGGTTTGAGCCCCAAATAGGGTTCTGTGCTCACAGCTCAGAGCCTGTAGCCTGCTTCAGATTCTGTCTCCCTCTCTTTCTGCCCTTCGCCCACTTGTGTGCTCTCTTTCTCTCAAAAATAAATAAATAAACATAAAACTAAAGTATTACTTCTCTGAGGGATACCTATATTTAAAAAAGAATAAGAGAGAGAAAGAGAAAAAACGTTGAAAGAAATGCTCCCAAATGGGGTATGGGTTGAACAAATCAATTCATGGCCAGTTCAATGGAATAGTACATCGTCATGAACAATGAACAAAGAAGATACAGGAGGAAGGGCTTCATGAGCTAAGGGCAGAAAAACAACTTCATGTGTTTTCTGGGGGTATCACTTATAATCAAATACCAAGAGGGACCAATTGAAGAATTTCAATGGTAAGTAATATATTATTTTCCTATTAAAACAAACACAGATGTGTCTTGCAGTAGGCTGCAAACATTCATATGGGTTTTCAGAAAACAGTAGAAGACTTCAGAGGTATCGAATGGACCACCAGATACCCTAAGGTGTATATTCATCAGTCTCTGACTAAACTTGGGTTTAACATTGAAGAAGCCCAAATAAAGAAGGATATTGAATGGTATGACAACAGCTAGGTAAAAATAAGCATGTATGCATGAGTATGTATAACGTATCAAAAATGAAAAGTTTTAGGAAAAAACGCTGGATATAACTCCAGGTGATTTTTTAATAGTATTAATCAAATTATGATCAATAGTTGTGTACTTTATTTATAAAGTATTGTTATTTACTTATATTTATAAATGTAAATATGTATGCTTGCATAAACATTCATATGTATATTTAGATAAATAATTATCTGTTTATCATAAATATGAATATATTTACAAATATATATTTAGAGGGGCACCTGGGTGGGTCAGTCGGTTAAGCATTGGACTTTGGCTCAGGTAATGATCTCAGGAGTTCGAGTCCCCCGTCCAGCTCTGTGCTTACAGCTCAGAGCCTAGGGCCTGCTTCAGGTTCTGTGTCTCCCTCTCTCTACCCCTTCCCTGCTCGCACTCTGTCTCTCTCTCGAAAATAAACACACATTAAAAATTTTCAAGCAAATATATATTTAGATAAGTATTCGTAATAAATAGTTTTAAACTATTTAAATTAATTACTAAAATAACATTAGTTCTAGTTTTCCTTCCTAAGAATTTCCCAAAATTTCTACAGCCAATTGCTTCTGCAATTAATAAAGTAAGTAGTGTTTGTTGTCACGAAAGTGAAAGACGAACATACTCCCAAGTCCAACTTGAAAGACTTGTCGAGTGACCCTTTCCAGGGTGCATCCTCTCTCCTGCCTTCTCGGTCCTTCATCCAGCCCACCTGGGTCTCTGGGTCTCCGCGTCTCTCTTTCTCTTTGTGGGGTCCCCCAGTGCAGACACGCCACACGTGCTCAGCGCCACGGCCCACCATGAGCCCGCAGTGCTCTGCCCCTGAAGAACTTCCCCAATACTGAGCCCAAAGACCCAACACCAAGGGTGTTCCACGTATTGGCTCAGACATAAGAGAGCACGCCTGAGTTCACTCCAAATGGCCAAATGGGGAAAAGATTCGCTGACCCAGGGAGAGGCCTTCAATAAGTCCTTAGTGTTCAGGGAGGCGGAAGCAGCACCTTGTAAAATGACACAAGGCAATTCAAAAGTTGAGATCTGCAGGTAGTAGGAAAAACAAAAATGAACATTCACACGTTTAAAAAAAAAAAGAAAGTCTGATGTTGGGGCGCCTGGGTGGCAATCGGTTAAGCGTCCGGCTTCAACTCAGGTCATGATCTTACAGTTTGTGGGTTTGAGACCTGCATCGGCCTCTGTGCTGACAGCTCAGAGCCTGGAGCTGCTTCAGATTCTGTGTCTCCCTCTCTCTCTGCCCCTCCCCCACTTGCGTTCTGTGTGTCTCTGTCTCTCAAACATGAATAAACATTAACAAAATAACCCCCAAAAATCTGATGTCTTATATTTATTGTGCTTTTTGGTGTTTTCCAGTTTTCGTAGAAGTAGCATAAGGTGTTGGGTTTTTTTGTTTGTTTGTTTCGTTTTATTTTTGGTTTGGTTTGGTTTTGTTTTGTAACCAGGATAAAATAGTATAAATAAGTTTTAAAAAATAAGGTGGATATGGGGCGCCTGGGAGGCTCAGTCAGTAAAGCATCTGACTTTGGCTCAGGTCATGACTCTTCGTGAGTTCAAGCCCCGCGTTGGACTCCGTGCTGACAACTCAGAACCTGGAGCCTCCTTCAGATTTTGTGTCTCCCTCTCTCTCTGTCCCTCCCCTGCTTATGCTCTGTCTCTCTCTCTCAAAAATGAATAAACATTTAAAAAAAATTGTTTTAAATAAGGTGGATAAATAATAAGCTAAAGTCACCATAAAGTCATAAAGATAACAACTGACTCCCCGGCCCCGCCTGTGCGGGGTTCAGAGTCCATCCTGGGAAGCAGGAGAGGGACGGACGGGGCCAGCAGCCCAGGGCTGGAGACGCAGATCTGTGAAGGGGCAGAGGAGGCTGTGCGGTCCCTGGAGAGACACCTAGCCCAGGAGGACCTGAGCATCCCATGGACCTTTCCAGACCTCAATGCAGACATTGGAGGGAGCTGGTTCTCCTGGGTAAGAGAGCTGAACCCACAGGGGTCACAGGGATGGGGAGAGGAGAGGTGCTCAGGACTCGCACCAGGGCTCTCATGAGCTCGCACACCTGGGCATACCGCACCCATAGACACACTCTCTCTCTCTCTCTCTCTCTCTCTCTCTCTCTCTCACACACACACACACACACACACACACACACACACACAGTGTTCATCCTCATGCATACCCAGGAGTGATGACCTTGGACCCCCAGCCACACTTGCTAGAAATCACCTCCTCTGTGTGCCCAGCCTGTCCTGATCCCTTCCCCCACCTCTCCAGCTGGACCCCTTCCCAAGGCCCCCTCCCCTCCAGGACCCTCTGAGCCCCCCTGACAGGGACAACTATCGTGTCTCACCATCCACCTTGGGTACTGTCTTCAAACACCACTAGTGTCCTCCCTGGAGCCAGCAACCAGAGGTCTCAGGTGTCTCTGTCCCCTCCATGGAGCCAAGGTTTAGGGTACACAGACAGTGGATCTCTCTGTCCTAGTTGATGACAGACCCCCACCCACACGGATGCATTCCACCGAATTTAGATGCTAAGTCAAAGACTTGTGTAGACAGTCTTGGGGGACTTTATCTACCTGGATATCTCTGGAGCTCATCCACTGGGTTCTGCCCCATGATCAGGGATGCTGTGATGTGGTGGTGGCTGACACAGCCCTCTGTAGCCCAGAGTCCAGTGTGAGATGCAGATCTGTCTCCAGATTCTGATGACCCGGAGTGATGGGGACAGGGATGAGAGGGCCCAAGAGGCTGGGGGAGCCCCAAGGGACTGCCTGACCTACACTGACAAGGAGGGGACATCACAGCTGAGAACAGAAGGATGAGTAGAAGTGAGTAGACAGAAAAGGCCAGTGGACATGAGGAGGAGGGAACAAGGATCAGTGTGCCAGAAATGGGGAACAGCGGGTGTGAAAGCCTGAAGTCAGGAAAGAATGCTGTGCATGAAGAGAGCTCTCTGTCTGGGGCACACAGTGTGGATACTGTGTCTTCTCATAAATGAGTGCACAAATGCCCACGTGAATGAATGACTGAATAAGGGAGTTCATGGGGGAAATGGGGTGGGGTGCATGTGATCCAGAAGGAAACTCGATGAATCATACAGACCAGCTCTCTTAGAGTGTCTCATAAACCACACTGAGTTTGAGTTTTATCTGTAGAGTTCTGGGGAGCCATGGAAGGTACCTGAGCATGGAGAGAGCAGGGTCACATCTGGGACTTTATAAAGATCCACATAACTGTCATATGAGGATGGGTTGGAGACTGAGTGTCCAAAGAGGAAGCCAGGCTGGAAGAGGATGAGGAAGAAATGGGCCAGGGCAGGGGCTGAGGGGATGGGAAGGAGACAGGCTGGGGAGTTAGAAACCCTTGGTGAGCTCACCAGTGCCTCTGGTGTTCATTGCCTGGACAGTGTAAATCAATCTCTCCTCTCTCTCTCTCTCTCTCTCATGTATGTGTGTTCTGTTTGTCTTCTTCAGCCAGTCTGCTGGCCTGTGGGATCCGCCAAGCCACCAGCCAAATTTCCATCGACCCAGAATCACTCATAGGAATCAAGGGATTTCGGAGTGTCCTGGTCCTCCAGAATGTCACCCAAGATGCTCAAGAATACAGCTGGCACCGTGGTGCAAATGACACTGTGGAAAATATGATTGTCAGCTACAAAGCTCCCTCCAATACCTGGCAGTCTGGGCCCATGCACAGTGACCGGGAGAACGTGACCAAGACAGGTGACCTGACCATCAGGAGGACTGAATTAAGCGACGCAGGGAACTATACCGTGAGGGTGGACTTCAGCAACAGGACTGAGAGAGCAACTGGCTATCTCTATGTTCAAGGTGAGCTGCCAGGTTGCCCCCTTTCCATCAGATCAGGGGGCTTTGAGAGTGAGTTTCCTTGGAGACCATAGTGTCCAAGTCTCCTCCAGCCCCAGGTGACACGGAAGCCTTGGCAGACGGTAGTCTAGCTTCTCTTGCAGAGATGGGTCACTCATTCACTCCAAGGGTTTCTGTTTCACTGTCAGGGTATCAGTTATGTACTACTGTGTAACAAACAGCAGCTTCAAAAAACCTTAATTTATTGTCATGCTTTCCTGTGGGTCAAAAGTCCAGGCGAGCACTATGCTCTAAGACTCACAAGTTGTTGAGCCAGGGCTGTGTATGGCCTCTGTATGGCACTGTCCACAGGCATTTCACATCACGGCTCTGATTCTTCAGGGTCAGCTGAATTCTCTCCCTATGGTCTGCTAAGCAGGAGGCTTAAATAACAAAAGGTAACATTCAGAATGACAGCCCATCACTTTTGCTTTATTACATAGAAGAAAGTCACAGGTTTCACCCACATCTGAGGGGAGGGGATCATCACAGGCTGGAGATCATGGGGCCATCTTGGAATTCTGTCTACTACAGATAGTTCCTGGGGGCACCACAGGGGTGGAGGGGAGAGTGTGGATTTGAAGACAGGAAGTCCTGTGTTTACCTCTGACTGTGTAGATGTCGCATGTTCCCAAGCCTTTCTTTGTCTTCCTTCTGGGGTGTCCTCAGTTTCCTCATCTGTAGAAAGAGGATAGTGTCTACCCATTGTCTGTTGTAACACTGAAAGGAAATATTTGTAAGCAAATGGGACTCAGATAATGGGAGCAATTATTATGCAGAGTCCAAATACCACCTGTCACTCTGAATTCTACTCATGGCTCCTCAGGTGGGGTGCCTGGTTTTAGGGTCAGAGTTCAGAAACAACCATTAGGTCACATGCCCATGCCAAGAACTCACCATTATTGCAGTGGATGCCTCAGGGATGGCTCAGCGCATAGGACAATGGGCTCAGGCTAGTGTCTATACATCAACCACTCACAGCCACACTGTACTTCTCTGTCCCTCTCAATTCCAGGGCTGCTCTCCTGCCAAGACCCCAGTCCCCATCTTACAACTTTTGGCTTCTCACCAAACCTAAAAGCCCCTTTGTAGAGAAGCAGAGCTTGGGGAGGCAGACCCCACCCCTAATGTCTCCTTCCTGCTTCCCCCAGAGTTGGAAAAGAAGCCAGACATCTGGGCTAACACCAGCACTGTGATAGAGTACATGGATTCCGTGGCCATCATTTGCTACACCAATGCCACCATTGTCAAGTGGTATGTGAATTATGAACAGGTGTCCAGCAATGACCAGATGACAATCTCCCCGGACTTCAAGACCCTCATCATCCACAAGGTCGGCCGCTATGACAGAACACTTCAGTGTGAAACTGAAAGCATTCCAGAGTTTCCTCGGAGAAGTGAACCTCTCTCTCTCACCGTGTACTGTGAGTAGTCTGGGGTCACAGAAGTGACGCCAGGGGTGGGCTCAGGGCCTCCCAGGGACATAGCAATGAAACAGGCAGAACTTGAGAGCAGGAGCACATAAGCCAGCCTGTAGCCAGCTAGATCTGGGTTTGAATCGCAGCTCTCTGGACTTAGAGTCACCTTCACTGCACAGAAGGACCTGCTATTTAAGATGGAGGACCCAATCCCTACTCCCCAGATTAGAAATAGTGTGAATTTGTTCAGATCCGGCTTTTGTAAAGAAGAGCTTGATTACAACTAATAGCTTTTTTTAATGTTTTATTTATTTTTGAGAGAGAGAGAGGCAGAGCGCAAGTGAGGGAGGGGCAGAGAGCAAGGGAAACACAGAATCTGAAGCAGGCTCCAGGCTCTGAGCTGTCAGCATAGAGCCGCCTCAGGACTCGAACTCATGAACCGTGAGATCATGACCTGAGGTGAAATCAAACGCTAAATGGAATGAGCCACCCAGGCGCCCCACAACTAATAGTTTCTTAAAAATGACATTCAATGGCTGGGGCGCCTGGGTGGCTTAGTCGGTTAAGCGTCCGACTTTCGCTTAGGTCGTGATCTCGCGGTTCGTGGGTTCAAGCCCCGCGTCGGGCTCTGTGCTGACTGCCAGCTCAGAGCCTGGAGCCTGTTTCAGTCTGTGACTCCCTCTCTCTCTGACTCTCCCTGCTCACGCTGTCTCTCTCTCTCCTAGAAATAAATAAATAAATAAAAACATTTAAAAAAATGACATTCAATGGGGTGTCTGGGTGACTCAGTTGGTTGAGCATTAGACTTCAGCTCAGGTCATGATCTCACGGTTCATGAGTTTGAGCACCATGTCGGGCTCTGTGCTGACAGCTCAGACCCTGGAGTCTGCTTCAGATTCTGTGTCTTCATCTCTTGCTCTGCCCCTTCCCAGCTTGTGCTCTGTCTCTCAAAAATAAATACATGTTAAAAAAATTTTTTAATAACATTCAACTCATTTTTTTAAGTTTTTTAATGTTTGTTTATTTCTGACAGAGAGAGAAAGAGAGAGAGAGAGAGAGACAGTATGAGCAGGGGAGGGTCAGAGAGAGAGGGAGATACAGAATCCGAAGCAGCTCCAGGCTCTGAGCTGTCGGCACAGAGCCCAACGTGGGGCTCGAACCCACGAGCCATGAGATCACGACCTGAGCCAAAGTTGGACGCTTAAACGACTGAGCCACCCAGGCGCCCCTAACTTACTAAATTTTCAAATCCCAGATTCCATTGAGCCTTTTATGTCCACTGATCTTTTTACTCTGGTTTTCCAAATTTAGCAAAATCGCCTTCACTTTTCCTTTTACTCACATTGAACTGTCTATGCTCTCTTAAACAGTCTGACCATTCATCCATTCTCTTTTCTGCATGACCCTCTTTGGCCGCCCACCAGGGCAAGTACACAGCCCAGTCAGACTTCCCCCAAATCTCAAACAGGTCTTGTAAACCGAAGACATCGACTTATGTAGACATACAATGAGCCTTGGGTCTTACAAAGAGCCCGGGACCTTTCACATCGACCAAACTCTTTCACATCTCTCAGCGGTGAAAAACCACAAGTCCTGAACAGTTTTCACATCTCAATCCAGAACCACGTGGAGTCTGTCAGATTTCCTAACAAACATGCTGGAGAAAGCGATCACAGAAGAGACAGCTTCTGGCCTCATACATGGCTTACTGGTCAGAGGCTTGCAACCAAGAGCCGGGACCAGGACCCATGGCCTGTAGCTGCTCAGGAAGACTCCTCCTGGGCCATAGGGGAAATTAGCTTTGTCCCTTTGTGGGTCAGTAGAGGACTATGAAATCCCTAGTCCTCTCCTTGGGATCTTGTTTCCCTCATCTATAAAATCAATCACAAGGGCTATGGGAATTAAGCCAATGTGTGAACCTGTAAAAGAGCCTGGCTTGCAGCAGGCCTCTACTCTATCCCTATTTTACTGTGATGTGAAGGGCTATCTCGGGGCTGGCTCATAGTAGGCGCAGATAGCAGAAAACATTATAATTATAGTGGTCGTTGGCACAGCTGCTTTGCATGTGTTCGTGGTGCAGAGTGGGGGCACCTCCTGGTTGAGAAGGGGGTGGACCGCATGCAGGCTGAGTAAGGAGACAGGATCCCAAGGGGTCAGAATCACAGTTCTGAGACTTGCCTTGTCTCTGCAGATGGGCCAGACAAAGTGCAGCTGAGTACCAGTCACATCATCCGCAATGGTGTCCTGTCTGCTAGGATCGGCTCCCAGGTGCGCATGCAGTGTATCGCCATTTCCAAACCCAGTCCCAAGTACCACTGGATCCACAATGGCTCCCGCCTGAGCTTCTCAGAAGCAGAAATCATCCTCCCAAGTCTGGCCTGGGAGCAGATGGGCAGATACAGATGCATTGTGGAGAACCCCACGACCCAGCTGGCCATGTACAGGGAATTCCAGATCCGGGTGCATACCGCAGGTGAGTCCAGCAGCCTCTCTCTGGGGCTCACGCCCCACAAGTCCTCCATGCTTTTGCCTAGGCAGTGCCTGTCATCAGACATCCCATCTCTACCTTGCAATGCCCATGACGGTTGGATAAAATCCTCCATCCTCTGAGGCCCAAGTCCAAAGCTATCTCCTCTCTGAAGCCCTCAGGGACCTCAGATCAGAGCAAGGGTGAGGTCCAGCGAGATACGGCCAGCCAACACTTACTGAGCACCCTACTAGGTATGTGACCCTCCAGTCTCTCCTCAGAGGAAGTGACCGTTGTTAACACCACCTCCATTGTACAGATGAGAAAACTGAGCTATGGGAAGTTTGAGTGCTTTATGCAAGGTTCCAGCTCCAATCAGCAGAGAGGGCAGGGCTCAAATTCTGGCAGTCTGACCTTACAGCCTGTGCCCAGTTTTGCTGGGCTGCCTCTAAATGAGGCAGGGGACGGGGGCAGTGGTATGAAACAAGGCTGGGAGGGAGGATGGTGGTGTGGGGGAAGCAGAGATCTGTTGCTGATGTGGGGTCTGGAACGTGGCTTGGGCATAAATCTGTACATGGGAAGAGCACCTCTCTGAGCCTCAGTTTCCCCATCTGTAGTGTCAAGATAATAAGGGTCCATATATGACAGCTCCTGGCAGAATTCTGGCAGAATTAAATCAGAGCATGAGGAGCCATCAGTCTGGCTCGTCCCAGAGAGCGAACCACAGGCACGGCCCACAGTGGGCTAGAGAGGTTTATTCTGGTCTCTCCACACTATTTACTTAGCACCTGCTATGCACCAGACATGATCGACCAACTGTGCACAATTATGCACCGACTGATTCACACCTTTCTACTCCACTGGACTGTGAGCTTCAGGAGGACTGAGGCTGGGAAAACTCTTTGCTCACCATTTGTCCCCAGTGCTTAACATGGTGCCTGGCAGGTTCAGTGAATACCTGTGCAATGAGTCCGTGACCCTGTGTAACCAGCACCCCCGCCCCTGTCACCGTCTACCACCTTGAGTGGGCTCATTCTTTCCCACTGCACTTCCTGCCGCCTGCGATGATATTAGACATCTCTTTGCTTAACTGTCAACTGTCCACTTCCCAGCTGGAATGTCAGCCCCATGAGGGCAGGAAGTTTTTTGTTGTTGTTTTTGTTGTTCACTGCTGAATCCCTAGCACCTAGAACAGTGCCTTGCACATAATAGGTGCTGACAAATCTCTGAAGAACAGATGTGTGTGTGAGTGAAGGGTTGAGTGATGGTGCTCCTGACCCCCATGTACCCTCTACTCCAGACCACAGTACTGTTGTGAGCAGCAGCTTCACCATCTCAGGAGCCAAAGTGGTGTGGCTCATCGTGATAACAGTCCTTGGTGGCGTCTACATCTGCGGGATCCTGATCTACGCCTTGATCAGCCATTTCTCCACTAGGTGCCTGTTGCCCTGGTTCAGGGGTGGGGGGCTGGCTGGGGACTGGGTCTCAGAGCGCTGCCCTAAGAGGGGGAGGCAGAGCCAGAAGGGAGAAGGGACAAGCCAGGAATTGGCTGTCAGGAATCATCTGGGGGCAGACAGGTCAAGGACCAGAGCCAGGGACAAAGAGGGAGAGTGTAGAGATAGTCATGCCTCTGAATAGCAATGGGCTTTCCCCCAGTGACTTCAGCCCAGTGCCTTTGTGTTTACGACGTAGATGTGGAGGTCCGTCTAGAGGGGCAGCTGTGAGAATGAGCGGGGTGGGTGCCAAGCCTCCAGCATGAGCCTGGCACATGGTAGTCACTACTTAGTGAGTGAAGCTGGGGAAACAGACAGTAAACTACACAGAGGGAGAGACTGGGCAGAGGGAAGATTCTAAACTGGGTTCAAATCCCAAAATAGATCACACTCCTCCCAGGTCCTCTTAGCCTACCTGGGCCATGTGAAGAGTAATGGCTGCCTGTAGGGTAATGGTGGGGCGGGGAGGCACACACTTATCTTGGAGGACAAAGCAATTAGCAGCGTTCTCAGTACAGAGCAGACCAGAATTTGTCACCCTCAGCACTATCAATATTTGGGGCCAGATAATTATTTCAGTTGGGGACGGGGTATAAGGCTGTCCTTCACACTGTACCATGTTTAGCAGCATCCCTGACCTCCACTGACTTGATATCTGTAGCAATTACCTCCATCACTCCAAGTGTAGACAACCAAAAATGACTCTAGGCATTGGAAAGGTCCCAAGGGGCGCCTGGGGGGCTCGGAAGGCTAAGCGTCCGACTTCCACTCAGGTCATGATCTCGTGGTCCATCGGTTTGAGCCCCGAGTAGGACTCTGTGCTGACAGCTCCGAGAGTGGAGCCTGCTTGGAAATCTGTGTGTCTCTCACTCTGCCCCTCCCCCACTCGCACTTTGTTTCACTCTCTCTCTCTCAAAACACAAACAAGCAAATCTTGATTGAGAACCACTGAGGGATGATGGAGACGATGGTGATGGTGGCGGCAGTGGAGGTGGCAGTGACCATGGTGACAGTGATGGTGGCGGTACAGACTGTGGTGACGATGCTGGAGATTTTAGAAGACACGTTCTTTTTTCAAATCATTTTAGTTTTTCGATATGGAGCCTCTCTGTGATCATTACAGGGTCTCTCTATCAAGAAACTTGCCGGGGCGCCCGGGTGGCTTAGTCGGTCGAGCGTCCGACTTTTGCTTGGGTCATGATCTCGCGGTTCGTGGGTTCGAGCCCCGCGTCGGGCTCTGTGCTGACTGCCAGCTCAGAGCCTGGAGCCTGTTTCAGAGTCTGTGTCTCCCTCTCTCTCTGACCCTCCCCTGCTCACACTGTGTGTCTCTCTCTCTGCTAGAAATAAATAAAACATTAAAAAAAAAAAAAAGAAACTTGCAATACCAATCATCAGTGCGACAACCCATTAGTGCTTTAGCTTGCCATGTGCTAGATGGGTGTAACACTGCCATTGACCTCACAGGGATACCTGTGCTCAGGCTTTTTGATTTAGCCATTCTGGCAGATGTGACAGGGCATCTCAGTGTGATGAATTTCCATTTCCCTGATGTCCAGTGACGTTGACTACCTTTCCTGTACTTACTGGCCATTTGGATCACTTGTGAAATACATGGTTGAGTCTTTTTTCCCATTTTAACAGTTAGGTTATTGTGTTATTAACTGGTAATAATTCTTTATGTATTCTAACTTCAAGCCCCTTTTCAGGGATATATATTTTTTTCTTCTAGTATGGCTTGCCTTTTCATTTTCTTAATCATGTCTTTCTGTGAGTAGAAGTTTTTAATGAAAACTATATATGTGTGTGCGTAATGCTTACTATTATGTTGAATGTCCTATAAGAAATCTATGCATATCCATAAATCCTCTCCTAAATTTTCTTCTAGAGCAATACTGTCCAATAGAAATATAATGCAAGCCAAATATGTAATTTCAAAATTCTAGTAGCTATAATAAAAAAACTAAAAAGAAACTGGTGAAATTACTTTTAAAATTTTTTAATGTTTTATTTATTTTTGAGAGAGAGACAGCGTGAGCAGGGGAGGGGGAGAGAGAGAGGGAGACACAGAATCTGAAACAGGCTCCAGGCTCTGAGCTGTCAGCACAGAGCCCGATGAGGGGCTCGAACCCATGAACCGTGAGATCATGACCTGAGCCAAGGTTGGAAGCTTAACCGACTGAGCCACCCAGGCGCCCTTACTTTTAATAATAGTCTATTCAACCCAGTATATCCAAAGTATTATCATTCCAAAGTAATCAATATGAAAAATTGTTAACGGGATCCTTTATCTCTCTCTTTTTTTTTTTTTTTTTTGGATACTAAGTGTAGCACCTCTCAAGGGCCATATATGGCTGGTGACTACCCTATTGGGTAGTTTTCATAGTTTTCACTTATACTTTTAGGTTTACGATTCATCTCAGACTAATTTTCTGCATGTGATGTGAAAAAGGGTCAAGTTTCATTGAATCCAAACCTTGACCACTTGTTCTATCAATTACTTGTTTAAAAGTCCCTCCTCTCCCAATTGAATTGACTTGGTGCTACTCAGCTGACTATATACACACTCTGTTTATAGACTCCATTCTGTTCTACACCACAGTGTCCTGACTACTCTAGCTTTATAGTAAAGTCTGTTTTCTCCAACTGTGTTCTTCCTTCACCAGATTGTTTTGCTATTCTAGGTCCCTTACCATTTTTATATAAATATTTCACCATGACCTTACAGGTAGGCTTCTCATCCCTATTTCACAGAGTAGGAAACAGACACAGCATGGAAGGGATTGGTTAGTTAATGAAGGCGCAACGTATAACTTTGCACTTGAAATTCTCTGTTTCCAAAGCTTGTGTTCTTCCTGTGGGTACTCACAGCTCATCCCCTGGAGGGCTTCTAATTCTACTGGAATCAGCCCCTGACTTTTCCTTTGTCCCTTGGGGGCCAAGATCCCTCAAGCCAGGGCTGGGTCTCAGCACTCTCTCACTGTGAATCCTGATCTCTGAGTACTCAATACCAGGGGCCACCTTTTCTTGAGGGCCCCAAGGCTCCTTCTCATCAAAGTTGAGTGTTGCATAATGGAGGTCTTCTGGTTCCCCTGAGGAGGGCGTGGCTGCATCTGGGGGTAGGTTGCCTGCCCAAGATTCAATCAGGAGACCCTGAGTGAAGGAAAAGAAAAGGGAGTCAGAGCCAAACAGTGGGGGATAGGATAAGGCAGAGAACACCCAGGAGGGAAGTCCATGAGTTCCTTCATCCATTCATCTCACATACATTTTTGTTGAATCCCCTCGATTCATAACATTTAATACATAACACTTTATTTGATGCATGCATAACACTTTGCCACAACAACTCCATAAGGAAGATATTATTATTGTCCTCATTTTTTCGATATGAAAACTGAGGGTGAACCAAGGAAACAGCATTCTCCAAGTCCCCAGTGAAACCAGGATCCAGCCCAAGTCCTTTCTAACCCCAAAGCCTGGTGTCCTACTGAGCCCCTCTGTGCATGAGGCCCTGAACTGGGTGCTGAGTATACTGTAGTGGGTACAAGAGGTGTAGACACTGACCTCTTGCAGCTTACTCTTTAATCAAGGGAAGAGGTAAGAAGTGTGTTAAACAAGTAAGTATCTAATGGTGAATTACAATATAATGGACAGGACCTGGGTAAGAAAGAGAGAGAGAATTACAAAGCCTCGATTTGAGCACTGCACCTGTCCTTAGGGAACTCACAGTTTCGTGGAAGGAAAACCAGTCAAAGAAATTATATCCCTGTGATATAGGCAGAAAAACAGCCCCCCACAGATGCCCACTCCCCTAGGACCTATGAATGTGTGACCTTCTATGGCAAAAGGGATTTAAGGATGGAATTAGATTAAGGATATTGAGATGGGAAGTTTGCCCTGGATTATTGGGGTGTGGCCAATGTATTCACAGGGGTCTTTATCTTTACAATTAAAAGGAGACACAGAGGGGCTTGAAGATGTTATTCTCATGTCCGTGAAGACAGAGACCTGGGCCACGAATGAAGGGATACAGACGTTTCTAGAAAAAGCAAGAAAAATGCATTTCTCTCCTGGAGCCTCCAGAAGGAACTCAGCCCTGCCTGCCAGCGCCTTGATTTTAGCCCAGTGAACCCCACTCTGGACTTGTGACATCTGGAGGTGTAAGATGATAAATGTATGCTGTTGTAAGGCACTAAATGTGTAGCGGTTCCTGACGGCAGCGCGACATTCTCTGTTGCCCCCACCCCACCCTTGAGGAGAGAACACTTCAATGAAACGGTTCATGTTTTTGTTCCTCCCGTTCTCTCTTGATTGTTCAGAGTAAGAGTTACACACACACACACACACACGCGCACACACACACACACGCACACACACAACCACTTCCTGACACTGTTGTTATCAAGATCTCTGCTCAGTGAAACCCACATGGGCCCCTTTCAGTCCCTGCCCCCTGGATTTCGCAACAACAGAAAGGTCACCCAGCTGCCTGCCTTCCCTAAACAAAAGCCCTTCTTTTCTGGGCTGCAGGGTTTCCATCAACTGCCCTTGCTGCCTCTTTGCTTGTTGCTCTGCATTTCCCCGACCCCTAAGTATCAGAGGGGCCCCGGACTCTTTCCTTCTTCAACTTCACCTTGTGACCTCATCCACTATACCCGCTTCATGTCATCTACAGGCTAATGGCTCCCAAAGCCTCACCTCCAGCCCACTCTCCCTCCTCAACTGTAGACTCCGATCCGGTGGTGAACTTGAAACCCCCGTTCACTTGTCCAAAACACACACATATTCAAAGGAACTCCTCCTTTGCTCCTCCCAAAACTCTTCCTCCTACAATCTTCTCAAGCACAATGATCAACACCTCGGTTCTGCTGGTGGCTCTCAGCAAAAATCCAGGAGTCATCCCAGATGCCTCTCTGTCACTCATACACCACCCGCAGTCCGTGAGCAGTTTCCATTCAGACTTCACCCACAAGGCGATCAAGCCCCACCCTCATGACATCTTGGTTCCAGCCACCAGCCTTTCCAGCCTGGAATGTTCCTCTACCTCCTTTCTAACTTCCCTGCCACACACAGTCCCTTCTGCACGTAGTGGCCAGAGGGATCTGAGAGAATGAAAGCTGGATTGTATCCTCCTTCTGCTCAGACGTCTCCAGATGCCCACAGTGGACTATGCGTGCAGACATGAGTTACACACACCCTGACGTCTCCAAATCCATTTCCCACTTGTTGCCACTTGCTTCCCTCTGTCTAATTACACAGACTTCCTGCTGGTCCTCCATTCACTGGCCCGCCTCTTATTTGTGAGCATTTGCACCTGCTATTTCTTCTGCCCAGCATGCTTTGTGATCACAATAGACTGCAAACTCTTGAGCCTCTTTCATATCTTTGCTTAATTATCACTAACACATAACACAGGCCAAACTTACGGAATGGGAGAGAATATTTGCAAATCATATACCTGAAAAGATGTTAATATCCGGAATATATAAAGAACCCCTACAACTTAACAACAAAAACCCCTCAAATAACTCAGTTTTTTGAATGGGTAAGAAAAAAAAAACCCACCTTGAATTGGACATTTCTCCAAAGAAGATATATAATGGCTAACAAGCCTATGCAAAGACACTCACCATTGCTAATCATTAGACAGATGCAAATCAAAAATACAATGAGCTATCGTCTGACACCCATGAGGAGTGAGATGATGCCCACTATAAAAAGCAAAAAGAAAAAGAAAAAGAAAAAATAGCAAGTGTTGGCAAGGATGTGGAAAAAACGAACCCTTGTGTACTGTTTGTGGGAAAGTAAAATGGTGCAGCCACCGTGGAAGACACTCTGGTGGTTTCTCAGAAAAATTAAAATGGAAACTGCCATGATGCAGCAATTCCACTTCTGAGAGCTTATCCCCTCAAATGGAAAGCAGATCTCAAAAAGATATCTGCATGCCCATGTCCATCGCAGCATTATTCACAGTAGCTGGGGTTGGAAGGAAACTTAATATCCATCTGCAGAAGAATGGATAAAGAAAACGTGCTGTATGCCTACAACAGGGTATGATGCAGTCTTTGGAAAGTACATCCTGTCAGAGGCTACAACATGGATAAACCTTGAGGACGTTATGCTAAGTGAAATAAGCCAGTCACAAAAAGACAAAAACTGCACGATTCCACTTCTGTGATGTATCTACTAAAGCCATCAAACCTACAGAAGCAGAAAGTAGAACGGTGGCTGCCAGTGGAGGGAGTGTCAGGGGAAGTGGGGAGTCGTTGTCCGATGCACACACACACACAGTTTGTTTTGCAAGACGAAAATGTTCTAGAAATCTGTTGCACAATCGTTTACTTAAACATGGCTAAAATGGTAACTTTGCCACAAAAAATAAAGAACAGATAAAACACAAGCAGTCTCCCCAGCACCCCTGTCTCTGTGCCCTTAATTTCCCCCCAAGTACACATCTGCCTTTCACATTGTAGTCACTTATTTGTTGTTTGTTTGTTTGATTGGTTTGGTTGTATCCTTCTGTCTAGACTAAAACCTCATGGAGCCCAAGATGAAAAAAATTTTATTCATAGATGAATCTCTGGCTCTTGCAATGCCTGTCACTTGGCGGGGGCTCAATAGCATTTCCCAAATGAATTAGTGAATAAAAGATGCATGGTACTCTGCTCAAAACCCTCCAAAGACTTCCAGTCACACTCTGAATATAAATGAATGAAAAATGTGACATTTACTTGGGAGCATGAAGGCTGAACAGTAATGAAGAAGTGGAAATGGGAAGGAAGAGCATTAGAGGAGAGAGAAACAGCCCATGCAAAGACCCAGAGGCACAAATAACCTTGTCCAGAGGAGTCCAGTGTGGATGGAGTAGAAAGTAAGAGTGACTTTCTGAGCCAAATAGAGCCTGAGGCAGAAGAAAACATGTGTGCTCATACATATATATATGTTTTGTGTTTTTAAAGGCCATTCACCCCACAACATTAAAATAATTAAAATATTATTGCAAACTTGAAGAATGTATGTAATAAAACATGACTTTAAGTTTAAAAATTTTATTTATACCCGAATCTGAATTTATGATAATTTGCTTTCTTAGCTTTACTGGAAGCAAACACAGATAGGACATTTTCAAAATCAACTTCTCTGCGCCTTTCATTTTCAATTGAGAATACTGCCATGTTTGACAATTTTTCTGGACTCAGTTATGATCTTAAATAATTTTTTAATTTTTTTGAAGAGAGAGTGCATGATCAAGGGAGAAAGACAGATGGAGAGAGAGAGAATCCCAAGCAGGCTCCATACCATCAGCTCAGAACCCAACACGGGGCTCAAATTCACAAACCTTGAGATCATGACCTGTGCCAGAATCAAGAGGTAGATGCTCAACCGACTGAGTCACCCAGGCACCCCTTAAATAATTTTTAACTAACTTTAGTCTAGTGATCCTGCCATTATTTAGATTTTTTTATGCTTTACTCATTATGGATTTTCTGCCTTAATTTTGTTTTTTTTTTAATTAGTACATGAAAACATTATTTATCTGGATTACTGAGATTTTGGAACCCCTCCTTAATTAAGTTTTGCATCTGGGGAAAAGGCCTCCCTCACTTCACCCTAATGCTAGTCCTTCTGGAGAGGTAGGTGCTTGAGAGGCCCAACTATGCAGGGCTGAAGGACTTTGGACTCCTGAAGAGTTTGGACTTTACTCTCTAGGTCAGGGGTCTGCAAACTATGGCCCACGACTAAAATACGGTCCACTGCCTGTGTTTGTAAATAAAGTTTTATTAGAATGCAGTTGTGATCATTCATTTGCATATGGCTGTTTTCACTCTACAACAGCAGAGGTGAGTGGTTACAATAGACTGTAAAGTGTGCAAAGCCAAACAATATCTCTCTGGCCCTTAACAGAAAAAGTTGCCACCCTGTGCGTTAGACAATGTGGGCAAACAGGTGTTCAAATGCAGAGGAACTGGATAACAGTGGCTTTTAGATGACTGCTTGGTGTAGGACAAGGAAGGTGAGAGCCAAGGAGATGAGGAGGTCCAGGAAAAAGATTCTGAAGCCTTGGCAATGATGGGGGTCAAGATAGAGAGAGGGGGGCCGATGCTGGCTGTGCTTCAGAGGAAAAATGGTCATGATGTGGTGAATTTGGGGCTGTAGGAGAAGAAGGGGAGGAGAGAGAGAAGGTGACTCCTCCATGCCTGGCCAGAAAGAAAGAGGAGGGAGTGGTTGTGCTGTCCCAAAGAGGGGGAATCCTCAAGGAGGAGGAGGAGGAGATAAGGAGAGCAACCTTGGCCATGCTACGTGGAGCAATCCTGAAGGCCATCCTGGGATAGGTATCCAGCCAGGATGCTCAATGGCGAGATGCTCAGGTCACTCACCTGAGACCCAGACCTTGTGAAAGCATTTGCGCTCTCCATGCCCGTATTCCCTGTGCCCACTGCCGGCTTTGTCGCTTTCTTCCTGTGGGACCTCACTCTGGAAGAAGAGACCAGAAAGCCTTTCAGTCTGGCCAGCTCAGGCTGCTGTGGGCAGACTGACCCCCTCCTCTGTTCTCTCCTAAGGGGCTGGAAGGGTGATGGAAGCGGGGGAGTGGTGGTCCCATTTTGGAGACCCCAGTGTTGAGAATGCAGGCTTCTCCATCCTGGGCAGTGGGGCCAGAGTTCTGTGACAGACTCAACCAGGTGCCATCGGCCTCCTTCCTGCCCTTGCTTCAGATTCTTCACCCAACAGGTCCCTCCATCCTGCGCTCGCCTGCCCTTCCCACCCCAGGACTATGTCTCCCTCCCCAGGGTCAATGCTCACAGGAGGATGACAATGCAGAGAACCAGGAAGATCAGAGCCTTCACACTTGCACCCCCGACTGCCCCCAGCATCCCTTCCAATAAAGGCCATGTTCCTGCAGACAGATGGAATTATTGGTGAAGCCTCCCCAAGGACTCGGTATCTTCTCCCACCCTCTGTGGGATGCCAGGTTGTTCCAGCCCCTCTGCCAGACTCAAAACACAGGGACCTGGGGCTGGGGGAGGGGTTAGGGCCAGGTGAGTGAGGCACCCAGGGGCTGGATTGCAGCCTGTCTTTATTTAAAATGCAGTTACTTTGCTCATGGTGATATTTATTTTATGTTCATTTATATTTTGAAAATGCACTGCATTGCAATATTACTTCTCATTACTGAGAGTTTTTGGCTTTTGCTTAAATTAAAAAAATTTTTAATGTTTATTTTTGAGAGAGAGAGAGAGAGAGAGAGAGAGAGAGAGAGTGGGGGAGGGGCAGAGAGAGGAAGACACAGAATTCAAAGCAGGCTCCAGGCTCCGAGCTGTCAGCACAGAGCTTGATGGAGGGCTCGAACCCACAAGCCACGAGATCATGACATTAGCTGAGGACAGATGATTAGCTGACTGAGCCACCCAGGAGCCCTAGCTTCTCAAATTTCCTACACGTGGTGCCCTCCTCCCTGCCCCACAAATCAAGGACCTTGGGTCCTCAGACACACCTGTGCAGGCCCCAGCCCCTCTCCTCCAAGACCCACCCCCTTCCCCTGGCTTCCCCTCCCAGCCTTTACCCCACCCTGCAGCTGGGGTCTGGCTGGAAGAGGACAGTGATACTGGAGGTGGCGGGGAAATCCAGGCCTCCCAGGGGAGCATGGACCAGAGCTGAGCTTCCCTAAAGGGCCAGGGGGTGCTGCTGCGGAGACTGGTAGCAGGTGCTGTGATTCTCCTCCAGCCACGCCCCACAGACGCACTCACTCTGCAGCGAGAGGCTCAGGAAGACGTGCTGGGAGCCCAGCGCGTTCTGAGCTCGGCAGGTGTATTCCCCTTCATCTGTCTCCCATAGCCGAGGCAGCTCCAGCACCCCCGGGCTCGGGGTGTACAGGGTCAGGTGCCCCTGGGCCCACGTCAGCCTGGCAGGTGGGTTGCTGCTGACGACACAGACCAGGCGCAGGGACTGGCCCTCCAGGACGGAAAGAGAAGAGCCATTCTCCAGAGCTGTGGGTGCTGGGGAAAAAGAGACCGAGGGTCAGAGAGACCAACAGACAGAGAGAAAGCAGAAGGACATGAAAAGAGACCGGGTGAGGGGACAGGGAAACAGAGGTAAAGTGAAGTGCAGGAAAAGGTGGACTTTCTCCCCTTGGTGGTGGGAACGCGCACTTGTCCACCCTCCATGCTGGACAACTTGGCCGCATTTCTCAACTTGGAAAGAACGTAAAAGCTACATTTTGCTTTTAGGAACTTATCCCACAGATATACATACACATAGTTGTGAAAGGTGACACAAGATTACTTACTCATCATAGCACTTTGGTTAATAAAACGAGAACCGTGATCTTCCATTAGTGGAAGATGCACACAGTGGCAGAATCCATCCATGGGAAGGGATCCACACAGTCATAGAGAAGAGCCAGGACGGGCTGTACTACTGATCGCAAAGGACCCCTTAGATCCTTTAGGCCAACACACCGAGGCTCAGAGCAGCCTCTGGACACCAGTCATTTCCCAGGAGGGAACTGAGCCTCTGAGGGCGTATTTGCTGTGCATTACGAGTACCTGTCCATGGGAATATACTACCTGTTCAAAAGTACTCAAACAAACAGTCGTCAAGGGAAATAAAAGCTGCGGGAGTCGGGAGGTGCGTGACAAGGGACAGGTGTGCTGGGAGCGCCTAGTCCTGTTCTGCTCTCCTGATAACGGGGAGAGCAGCAGTGGGGGAGGGGCCGATGGCGACGGCTGCTCACAGGGCATGGGGGCGGGGGAGGGGAGGACCACTGGGCTCCCCCACCAGAGGGACCTGGCCCTGCCCTTGCTCCCTGCACCCCAAGAGGAGGCTCTCTCCTACCTGTGGCATCTTCTCGGAAGACAGTGACTGTCAAGTTCCACGGAGAGTCTGGGACAGAAAGACATGGCAGATTCGTGTCAATGGAGAGGGCTGGTCATTGGTCCTCAGTCCCCAAAGGAGGGTCATAAGTAGGAAGAGGATGGAGATGGGCACCATCCTGACCCCCTCTCAGCCCAGATTCCAGGATCCAACACCCAATGTGCCAGGCCCACCCCCAGCCCACTGCCCTCAGGACCCCATCAGGGACCCGGGTGGCCCTGGCCCGGCTCTCACAGGACACGTTGAGGTGGATGGTCCTCATCGTGGTCACTCTGGTCCCAGGCAAGGTCACCTGACAGGTGAGGTTGGTACCGTGGTCCTGGGGCCGTGGAGTAAGGGTGACCACGGAAGAGAGAGGGTGGGTCTTGGGGCCCAGGGAAGTGAGGGCGTCTGACATCCAGGAGAAGATGGGGGGCCTGCTCCATTCACACGCCCAGGCCACAGAGCAGGTCAGGTTACTGGGGCGTCCAGACTCCAGGGTCCCCGAGATGAGGATGTCAGGCATGTGGGTCAGGGCTGGTGAGGAGATGGGGAGACAGGGCATCAGGAGGAGGGTCTGAAGTGCAGCCTCAAGCTTTGGTCCAGCTCCTGCCTCTAAGCCCCAACATGTGTTGCCCACAATCCCTTCCAGGTTGTCCTGGGACCCCCAACCTTCCCCTGTGGCCTCTCCCACAGTCTGCTCCTTACCTGTCACACGCAGGGAGAGCCGGTTCTGTGTGTAAGTGTATCTCACAGAAGGCCCTCTCTCCACCCTAAAGATGTATGTCCCTGAGTCACTTCTCCGTAAGTCTCTGATGTCCAGGGAGCAGTCGTAGTCCCGGGGGTTTCCAAGGAGGTAGAATCGGCCCTGGGTCTCCTGCCACACTTTACGACTGGGGTTGTTTGTGGCCACTGGCTGAGCATAGGCCCCTTCCCGGAACCAGTAGCCGAGAGCTGGGCTAGAGTCATACCGGTCTTCCTGGGGATAGGAGCATCTGCAAGGCACTCGCACACACAGGCCCTCCTGCACTTCTGCATCCTGCACTTGCAGCCAGTAACCCCCTTGCGGCCCCTTCCCGGGCCTGCTCTGGCCCTCGGCCCCCTCCCTCCTCCAGAGCAGGGCCAACAGCAGCAGAAGCATGTCTGGGCTTGGCGGGGCCAGGTCCCCAGGGAGGCTGTTTCTCGAGTTTATCTCAGAAACTTAAGAGCTGCAAGATTCTGAGGAGGCCCCGACAGGAAGGTGATGGTAATGTCAGAACTGTGACGCTCCTCAGAGAAGGAACTTCACACCCAGACACTGTCAGGTCAGGGCCGGGACAGCCCTTGGGGATCAGCCACCCACCACCACATGTCCACTCCTGGGGACCCTGGGCCGAGAGACAGAGGTGAAAGTCTCGCCCAATTCGCACCCCCTGCAGGGCTCCGCACCCCCCCCCCCCCAGTTTCCTGCCTTCCTACCAATGCCTCTCCCTTCTGGGGTCGTTTTTGGCCAAATGAAAACAATGGGTTCCTTTGGGCCAGACCCCCTGAATCACAGGCTGTAAATGTCTGTGGAAGTCATGTGGGGATACAGCCTCAGGAGACGGGGAAGGCCAGGAGTGGGGGTGTGAGGAGGCCACCTCTCCTCCCTCCCTTGGAATACACGTGGCGGGACTCCCCTCCCTGCTCACGGGGTCACACACTTGCCCCGGGCGCTGGCCCTGGAGTCGCTGTCCAGCAAGGAGACAGTAGGTGTCGGCGCCCAGGGCTCCCTGTGACAGGGGACACATGGGCAGGGGTTATGTCCCAGGAAGACTGGGCACAGGGGACACTGGAGCAGGGGAGGCGAAGATCCCAAGGACATGGAGGGGAGACTGATGCAAAGGACACCTGGGAAATGGAAGCTGTGACTATGCATGGGGTTGCTATGGGGGGAAAGGGCAGAAAAGGAGCCAATTTCGAAAGGGGTAGAAACTTCCCCTTTTGTTGCGGCTGTCTGGGCGCCAGGATGATTTCTCCACCGCTGGACTCTCATGCTTTTTTCCACGGCTCCAGCGTGTGGCCGAGGCTGCCAACCTCTGGGGCTTTGCCCATGTGGTTCTGGTCCCAGGAGTCAGGTGTGCAGCAGACACGGAGCGAGGAATGCCAGCTGGGCGTCATCCCCCCTCGGGATGGGTTGACTTCGTGAGAGAGGAGACATGCACCTGAATTCACAGAAGGTCGTGCTTAACTGTGTGGCTGGGGGTTGGGGTTGGCTCTGGGAACCCTGGGAGGTGGTGCCTCCTTCAGCCTATGTTGGTTCTCCTCACACATTTTGGAGGGGGAACTTGAGACACACACATGAAGAAGAGGCTCCATGAGAACAACTCAGGGATGCATCACAAAATAGAAATAGAACATTGCAGGCGTCCTGTACAATCGCTTCACTCCCCATCCCTATTGCACACCCCGCTCCCCCCAAAGGAGCCCCTAGACTCACTTTAATGCTAACTATTCCCTTGCTTTGTTCTTCCGAGTTTTAGTACCCGAGCATGCTGCCTGCAATACTACGGCTCTGCCCATGTTCAGCTTAAGACTGTGTGTGCGCAGGAAACATTAGTCTGTTTTCTTCCACGCAGCTTCACCAGTCTGCCCATCCCTCATTACCCCTGCCCGGAATCCATGCCCATAACCGGGGGTACAGTCAGCACTGGGGTCACTGAGAAAGGAAGGGCAGGATTTCAGCGTGCAGAGGCGCTCCCACACCATCACCAATTCCTGCATTTGCTGCCAGTGCCGCCCTGCAGCCCCATCCCATGCTGGACAACACCCTCTCTCCCACTGCAGCGTCCGTTGCAGCATCTCTGCAGTCAGAAGGGTTGAACCACACCCAGTCTGTGTCCCGTGGTCCCCAGTTTGCAAAGAGAAGCAGAAGAATGAGGAGAGATAATCTAGCTGCGTGCAAAGGAGGAACTTATAACCCATAGGCCACCAGAGCTCGGCCTTCTAGACCCACTTCTCTGATTTTCAGAAGACACTGAGGGCCTGAGGGGGCAAATGAATTGCCCAAATCATCTATGGGTGCCCTGTCTCATGCACCACTGTCTACACAGGGAGCCACTTCATCAGTCTTTGTCAGACCAGAATTCATTGAGCTGGGAGTTGGGTAGCTTATGTTAATCTGACAGGGAAGAATTATCAACTCTTCCCATGAGGTGGTGAGGAAATTTCATTCATTCATTCATTCATTCATTCACTCATTCATTCAACAACTACTTACATTATACCTTCAGGCTTCCGGTAAAGGGGTGAATATGAAAGTGTAGCTCATGTTTGAGGGGAGCAGCATCTGGTTGGGAGACAGATTCCTGACAATTCCAGTGTCACATGGTAGGAGGCTGGGATGGGGGAGGCGCAGGCTAGCGATGGGGGAGGCGATGGGGACACAGCTGGGGCTCTCGCCCTTCTGAACTGCAAGGTGAGTTCTCAGAGACAAGTTGACATAGTAGGGACTCTCAGGCAATCTCAAGGGATGTGAATTCCACAGGTGATCTTGGCAGCCTGAGAATTCCTGAACTCTCAGGTTTTGTGTGTTCTCCATCCCACTCAGTCTCCCAGCATGCTGGAAATCCTCCTCCAGCTACCAAGTTTTGTGCTCTGTGACCAACATCACCGCTGCCCCAAGGGGAGGGGGGGGCACCACCAACGGGGGGAGGGGGGGGCGGCGGCGCTACCTCCGAGCAGGACTTACCTGGCTGAGGATGAGGGATGGTCCCTTGGGAAGGGTGATGGTGCTGTCTGTGGTGCTGATTCATAGGGAAGCGCGGGCTTTGGGCACGTCCATGCTCTGTGGAGGGGCCCGATCACACAGAACAGGGATCCTAGGTCTGGAGTGGGTACAGGCAGCATGTCAGATATGCTGGAGAGGGCGTGGGTCCACCTGGGAGGAGAAACTCAGGGGGAGGGAAAGTCTCAGTCTCTCCTCCTTATCCTTCTATCCACCCTCAGAAATGTCCTATTGACAATGCCAGGCTGTTGTCACTAGTTCAAGAGGAGAAAAAATGAAGGTTCTGTGTTTCCCTTTTACATTTCTCATTCCATTTCATTTTCTGAACATGTCTGACAGAGGGATAATGTCTTCATCAGATAGAGGAGGCAGCCACCACTCAAGACACATGGGAAGCTGTAGGAACTAGCTTCCAGAAACAATCCTAAACAACCCTGCCCCTTTTACACGAACATGGGGCTCCTCTCATTACGAGATAAAGTTGCTATTATTACCTCCTCTTCTTGAATCAAGGTTGGGTCCATGACTGCTTTGATTTAGAATGTGGAGGACAAGATGTTCCAAGACTCATACAGCTTAGACATTAAGAAGGACTGCTAGCTTCCACTCCTCCTTGCACATTCTTGGGTGTCTATAAACAATCTGGGGGACTCTGATGGAGAGAGAGGCTACACAGAGGAATCCTGAGGTTCAGACATCCAGGCCCAGTCCCGGCCGCCATCACAACACGACTGCCTGAAAGAACCCAGAGCGAGACAAGGAGTGAAACTGCCCAGCTGGGCTCTAGACGATTTACAGCACCGTGAGACAGAATGCAGTGATTGTTCAGGCTACCGAGTTGTTGGGGGGCTTGACGTGCAGCAACAATAACTGAAACAGCTTGCACAAGTCATAGCTAATAGGGAAAAGGTAATGTTCTGGAGATTTACAGGCCTGATGAATTTTTCTACATACTGTATTTCTTTAAACATTTTTTAAATGTTTATTTACTTATTTTTTAATTTTTTTAATGTTTTATTTATTTCTGAAAGAGAGAGAGAGTGTGAGCAGGGAAGTGTCAGAGAGAGAGGGAGACACAGAATCTGAAGCAGGCTCCAGGCTCTGAGCTGTCGGCACAGATCCCAACGCGGGGCTCAAACCCACGATCCCTGAGATCATGACCTGAGCCAAAGTCAGACGCTTAACCGACTGAGCCACCCAGGTGCTCCTATTTACTTATTTTGAGAGACTGCAAGAGACAGCAATATGGCGCTCAAACCCACGGACTGTGAGATCATGGCCTGAGCTGACATCACTAGTTGAAGATTTAACTGACTGAGCCACCCAGGCTCCCCTTTTACATACTGTATTTAAAGGATAGTTCTTAAGTGGGTATCTGAAGCCTTCAGTGAAGAAATCTGTGGAGTTTTGCCAGGCTAGGACTACATTTCCCAGAAGCCCCTTACTTGTTTGCTTCCAGGTTAAAGCTGACCACAAGAGAAGGGAGAAATTGAAGCAGCAGCCATGGGGCTCTGAGGGTCAGTGGAGGAGCAGGTACTATTGCAGCTCTCACACTCTGTGGCTGTTCTGGTGGCTCATCTTGTTGGCTTGACATACCAGCTGCTCAATTGCTGGGAGTGAAGAGGGTGTTGGGAGAAAGTGGCTGAATTTCCAGAAGCAAGGGCCATTGAGCCCTGTTGCATGGATTGGTGACCCTAGTGGACACAGGTGGCCCAGAGAGAAGTTTACAGTGACATGCAAAGGATCCAGGAAACAGTGTGTCTGGCATTTCTCTCCTACCAAGACATTGTTCCAGGATCTCTTTAACCTGACAATTAGGGCCATTTGCCTATTCACAGGAGCCTCATTGTCCCTGGGCAAAGGACAGGATATGGCCAACTGTCTCAGTAGTCAGAATGACCAATGCCCAGTTGTGTGTGTGTGTGTGTGTGTGTGTGTCTGTCTGTCTGTGTGTCTGTCTGTGCTGAGTAAATGCCTAGATTAAACATTATTTCTGGGTGTGTCTGTGAGGGTGTTTCCACATGAGATTAGCGTTTGAATCAGTTGACCCAGGAAAGTAGATAACCCTTCCAGGTGTCAATGGGCATCATCCAAGGTCTGAAAGAACAAAAAACAGAGGAAGAGCAGACTCATTCCCTTCCTGTCTGCCCGTGAGCTGCGACATTGGTCTTCTCCTGCCTGTGCACTGGGATCTGCAACATCAGTTCCCTCTGGTTCTGAGGCTTTGGGACTCGGACTGGAATTACACCTCTGGCTTTCCCGGGTCCCCAGCTTTCAGGTGTCAGATTGTGGGACCTCTCAGCCTCCATTTTTGCTCCAGTTCTTCATAGTAAATCAGTTTGGTTCTGTCCTCTGGAGAACCCTGTTTAATAAAGTCAAAAGGGAGACAAACAGACTAAGCAAGACTTCATGGGTTATATTTCCTACTTTCTCTTTCTTTTCATGAGAAATAGAAGCCACCGAAGGTGGAAAGCTAGAGAATCAGGAAGTGAAATGGTCTGTGAAAACACAAATCCATCACACCTTAGTCCCATCTCTAGAAAGAGGGAGAGTAGGTCAGGCCTCTCAAGGCCTCTCAGCTCTGCTCCCTGGGGGCCTCCACACCTGCAGTGATGACATGGGTTTCAGTAACTCCAGGCTGGTGGGACAGCTCAGCCCCACCTAAAACTCAGGAACTTCCTGGAGACTTCCCCAGGGAGGGCCAGGCCTGTTCACCTGGTGTTGTAGATCTAGCTGAGGCTGTAGGTGAGGAGGAAACCAGCCCCCATGAGGGCCCCTCTGAGCAGGGTGAGAACCAGGGGCATGAGCCCTCCTGCTCCCCAGTCACACAGCTGCAGGAAGAGGGGCTTCCGGGGAGGGGGGGCGACAGAGGATAAAGTTCCAGCCCTTGGCCCTTCCACATCCTAAACACCTGGCCAGGCTGTCCACTCTCAGAATCTGTGTCACAATTCACTTTGCACAGAGAGGCTGGAGGAAATGACTTGGGAGCCCAGTGGGTGCTGAGTCTGGCAGGTGAATTCCCCTTCATCTCCAGGCCCTACATGGGGCAGCTCCAGGACTCCAGGTGCTGAGGGCTGGGAGGGGGTCAGGGCTTCTCCCTCCTGGACCAGCTCAGCATGGCAGAGGTTTGCTATTGGACCAGGATTCAGTGTGGGGTGGACAGCGATGGTGGAGCTGAGAGGTGTGTCTCTCCCGCTTCCCAAACCGACACAGAGGATGCATGACGATTTGACCCAAGCTCATTTATAGATAAATCCAGGAGTCTGGAGTGGCTGAAAGATCCTGGAGGGAGAAAGGCTTAGCTGCGGCTGGAAGGAGGAGGGAACTGGTCATATTAACATATGGAGGAAGGCACCTCAGGTAGAGGACTGACTGCAAAGGCCCTGAGCCTCGTAGATGAAAGGAAATGCAAATATCTCTGGGGCCTGCTGGAGGACAGAGACATTTCTGCACCCAATAAGCTGAGGACGTTACCCTGAGGTGCAGGGCAGCCACCAGAGGGCTCTGAGCAGGGAAGGGGCAGGGAAACCTTTCTGGGCCTGTTCTGTGTGGGACACAGACTTGACGGGAGACACTGGAGACCTGGAGGCTGGGGACCAGGAAGGAGCAATGGTCAAGGTCATGGGGGGGGGGGAGGACAAAGAGGGGATGAGGAAGGGAGCAATCTGGGACATTTTCAGGAGGTGAGGCTTACAGGACCCATTGATTCAAGGGTGGGAGAGAAAAGGAGGTGTGTGGAGTGAGTCAGGAGTTGTGACCCAGGTAACTGGGGGGATGGAGACCCATGACCCCAATTTCTGCACTTCAAAGTCATATTTGGACCCTGCACCAAAGCCCTTAGAGAGAGAGACTCAGAGTCCACTCTCATTTCCACCCTAGACTCCTCTGGCTCCTGGACCACTCACCTTCCTACAGCATGGACTATAGCAGCACTACCAGCAGCAGAAACACCTCTTGAGCCATAAATGCCAGGCACTGTCCTGGGACAGTCTGGCCACCAGGGTCTCACTATGGGAAAAGTGGTTAAAAAACAAAAACAACAACAAAAACAAGAGGAAGCCAGCAGCTATGAAAAGGATAGAGGCTGAATGCATTAGTGCAACTTCAGACCCACCGTTGCCGGAGATGGAGACGTTCTCGGAGGTGAGCCAGTACCACCTCCCTGCTCTGCAGGACTCAGCGATGTCTGGAGAAAGCAAAAGACTTCCAAAAGTCATACTGGCTGATGTATCTTTCATACTTGGAAAGTTTCATGAAAAATGGGTGTTATTTCTGCCATTCAGAACGTGCCAGTGAATTTTCCCCCCTGGAAAAAGAGGTTTCCTAATGAATCAATTCCCTTATGGATTCGTGGCTATTTGGGGTTTTCGTTTCTTCTTGAGACAGTTTCAGTAAATTATATTTTTCTTATAATTTTTATGTCATCTGAATTGTAAAATGAATTAGCACATATTTGAGTGAAACGTCCCCTTACATTGTTCTTAAAGCAAAAGACGTTACATAGAGAAAACAGTTCCGTTTATAAAGAGAAGCTTGATCAATTTTCATACGATAATGACATTCCTGGAATAACCACCTAGATCAAGAGACCCCACCAGCACCCATTCCCAGTTACTCCCCTCTAAAAAAGTAACCACTATAATAACTTCTATCATCATTAGTGTTTTCTGCTTTTTACTTTTTTCTTTAACTTTTTTTGTTTTTATTTTTGACAGAGACATAGTGCAAAAAGGGGAGGGGCAGAGAGAGAGCGAGATACAGAATCTGAAGCAGGCTCCAGGCTTGAGCTGTCAGCACAGAGCTGGACACAGGACTCAAACTCACAAACCCTGAGATCATGACCTGAGCCAAATAAAATCATGACCTGAGCCAAAGTCAGCCGCTCAACTGACTGAGCCACCCAGGTGCCTCTTGTGCTTGATATGTTATTGTGAGAGTTACCCACACAGCAGCCATTCCTCCATTCTCACCGCTGAGTTTTTTTCTTTTTTTAGTGTTTTATTTATCTCTGAGAGAGAGACAGCATGAGCAGGGGAGGGTCAGAGAGAGAGGGAGATACAGAATCTGAAACAGTCTCCAGGCTCTGAGCTAGCTGTCAACACAGAGCCCGACGCGGGGCTCAAACCCACGAACCGTGAGATCGTGACCTGAGCTGAAGTCAGACGCTTAACCGACTGAGCCACCCACGCGCCCCCCTCACTGCTGAGTTTCTTGTGTGCACCTGCCATACACTATTCAATAGGCTATCTGGGTTACTTCTAGTCTGGAACTATTAGGAAGAGTCCTCATACAAACATGGCTTTGACGGGAATATGCACCTTTGTTTGGTATATTGTTTAGAGTGGGATTTCTCAGGAATAGTCTAGAGGGTCTGGGTCTCCAGGACCCTGGGCCTAGGGACTACGGAGTCTCAGGTGTCTGGGTCTTCGGATCCCTCAGTCTCGGAAGTGGGGGTCTCTAGGGTTTCTGGTCTCGTCCAGTCCTCTCTCAACTGCTCGCCAGCCCGGAGCTCCACCTCCTCGTGAAATTAAGTATGTACTACTGTTCGCTGGCCAGGACCTCATCTCACCCACTACCCAAAGCCAGGCTCACGTCCAGAGAACTACACCCCCGCCCCCCCCCAACCTCGCCAAATCACTAACAGCTGAGGCACGCGTAGAGCCCTCAGCTCACACGCACTGCTACTGTCCCCATCCGACACGCTCACGCGCACCATCACCACCCGCACGGGCACGCGTAGATGCCCTCCGAGCCCCGACCCCGGACTCTGCCCAGTGCATAAAGGAAATCCGGCAGCGCACTTGAGCAATCGATAGAAGGGGCCGCAAGGGTTGCTGGGAGTTGTAGGCCCGGGAGGCCTAGTAGCCACAGGATTCCAAGTTGCCGCATGGGGTTCTAGGAGTAGTAGGCAAGACTGCCTCAGAGCCTTGTGGGAGTTGTAGTCTCCGGAGCCACTTCCGTGCCAGACTTCCGCGTGCGAGGCGGTTGGAATGTCCTAGTACCGCGTTCTGTCCAGGTGAGTAGTTCCTCCTAGAGCGGGTGGGCCCATGGGCCCCCGCTCTTTATTGCGGTGCCATGCGAGGTTGAGAAGCTCAGGGAGTGGTGACCGTAGCCCCTGTGATTCCCTAACGCCTGTGTCCCACAGGCCTTCTAGCCAGGATCCCCGCTTTGAATACTGGTCTATCCTGTCTCCTGCCCGTCTACCCCTTACCCCAGGCGGGGATTCCACCGTCTCCCTCCCCACCCCCCATGCCATTAGGCACATCAGAGCGGCCCCTAGCGTGTCCTCGAGTCTCTGTTCTGATAGAAGGATCACACACTAGCTTCCTTCCCACAGGGCTGCAATCCGGAGGCACCCCTGGGCTCCGCGTTTCTTCTTCTGGGTGCATTTATTAGTCCCTCATTCTGCAGTTCTTTACGGAGCGCCGACACAGTTCCAAGTCCTATGCGAGGTCGGAGGGAGACGCTGGTGGACGAGGCCGGCCCAGTCCCTGCCATTAGTACCCCGAAGGAAACAGGTCGGCCACCGTGGTCAGGCTGGGATGTAGGCATCGTAGCGGCTCTGTGAGCCTAGACCCAGGCTGGATCCATAGAGTCATCACCGGGAAGACACTCAACAGGCATTTCAAGCCTGATGTGTCCAGATGGACTTACTGGGGACCCCCAGACGAAATGGCCCCATCTTCCTCCCAGGTGCTCTGGCCAAAACCTCCAAGTCACTTTCCATCCATCTTTGCTCATCAGCCCAGCCCCCACCACAATCCAAGTCTTGTGCAAGTCCTGTGGGCAGATCCAGAATCCCACCCTTCCCACCTCCACTGCCACCAGCCCCACCCAGGCCACTTGCATCTCTCACTGGCCACTTATGGCCTCCCTGCCTTTGCTCTTGTCCCTAAGGGGTGTTCCTCACACAGCAGTCAGTGGGATCGTTTTACAATATAAATCAGGGGCACCTAGCTGGCTCAGTCAGTTAAGTAAGCATCTCTTAATTGGGCTCTTGATTTCGGCTCAGGTCCTGATCTCAGGGTTTGTGAGGTCAAGCCCTGTGTTGGGCTCCACACTGGGCATGGTGCCTGCTTTAGAGTCTCTCTCCTTTTCCCTTTGTACCTCCCCTTCTCTCTCTCTCTCTCTCAAAAACAAAAGCCATAAGTCACCTCATACCCTTTCCTGTTCAAAATCCTCCTGTGGTTCACATCTCCCTATGAATAAAATTCAAATTCCGTATGATGGTCTATGAGTCTCTGACAGTCTGCAGACTCAACACCTATCGAGGTCTTCCTCCTTCAGGAGGCAGACCCCAGAACTGGGTGACTTTGGATTCAGGGCAAGAGAAGGGATGAGTCAAAGGGACTTTACGTCCTGTCCTGCAAAGGGGCTGGGTGGAAGGTGGCGATGCTCTCAGGAGACAGGAAACAGTGGGACAAGAGCAGGCTTCTGCCTCGCGGAATGGAGGCTGGCCACGTGGGCACCTGGGATCTGGAAGAAGGTGGGGCCGGGATCCTCAGGGGGGCATTCGGAGGACCAGCCGGACGCAAGGCACAATTCGGAGCCCCCCACAAGGAGAGTGGGCTGGGCGGGACCTGAGGACCATGAAGAGGACTCTCCAAAAGAGGCTGAGACTCAGCAGAAGATAAACCAGGGGCAGAGGGAGGATCAAGTCAGAAGTCAAAGGAGAAACAATTTCAAAGGGCCGTTGCACAGCGCTGACAGATGTACCTGACGGTCACAGCTGACGGCTCCTAAGGGCTCCTTGCTGGCCCAGTGACAGGGAAAAGCTGAGCAGAGAAAAGAGCCAGTGCAAACACCTACCAGTAGGTGTGTCCCGAGTGTCTGAGAGTAGACACCAGTGTGACTGAGGACAGTGGGACGTGAGGTCAGAGAAGAAGGGAGCCAGATCCCAGAGAGCCTTGGAGGCCACTGGCTTTCCCTGAAGTGACAAGGCTTGAGCGGGAGGATGTATAGAGCACAGCGGGCAGGGTCCGCTGGCCCTCCTGTGGAGAGGAGAGGGGGTGGGGCAGGGTGGAGGCAGGGACCCTGGTGAGTATCACTCAGAAATGGGTGGCAGCCGTGGAGATGGGGGAGACCCATCGCCTTCTGGGTTGAAGCTGTCGTCACATGGGATTTGCCGTATGCCGTTCGGGCATGTGAGGACAAGTGGAGGAATGGTCAGGACTTGACATTGTAATTAGGAGTCACCGCAGGGAGGGGAAGAGTGGTGAGAGCAGGCCCGCATCCAGCTGCTGAAAGGATGGAGCTGCTCTTCACTGCAGGAGAAGCAGGTGTGGCAAGAATTGGGAATCTGGGTTTTCAGGTGCCTGTTAGGCATCTGAATGGCACTGGCCCCTGCCTCAGGAAGTTACAGACAGTAAGCAAAGTCACATAAAGTCATTCCACATATGGTGAAAATCCTAGAAGCAGAGTAACCTGCTGGGAGACCCCTGCATTAGGCCAGGCTGGAGGCGATGGTGGCTTGGGCGGGGGTTGGGGGGGAGATACTGGGTTGACAGGCATGTGAGGCCAAGGAGTGTGTAGCTGGAGGATTGGTTTTGGCTGGGGAGGGACAGGTTGGAAGAGGGGGACAGAAAGGGGTCAAAGATGGGCTGATCCATGTTTTGATACATCTGTAGAAGCTTGTGAGAGATTCTTATTTTTTTTTTCTTTTTGGTTTTACTTAATTTTGAGACAGAGAGAGAGAGAGAGAGCACGAGCAGGGGAGGGGCAGAGAGAGATGGAGACACAGAATCTGAAACCGGCTCCAGGCTCTGAGCTGTCAGCACAGAACCCGATGCGGGGCTCAAACCCACGAACCGTGAGATCGTGTCCTGAGCTGAAGCCAGACGCTTAACAGACTGAGCCACCGAGGCGCCCCGAGATTTTTGATACCAGAGCAGAGTTAAGCCCGGTCCTGGAGGCCCAAATACCCCACCTGGAAACAAAAGCAACCCCAGATCGTCTCCTTGGAGATGGGATCCAGCTGGCTCCCCGGAGGCACTGACCCCGCAATAGGGAATCTGCACGTAACCTGCCTCCCCTCTCGCCCTGTCCAGGGGAAGCCAACTCCTCTCTGCCCGCCCGCAACCCGCGATGCCAGCCCCGCAGTGCGCCTCCTGCCACGCGGCGCGCGCCGCCCTCCGCCGCCCGCGCTCCGGCCAAGCGCTGTGCGGCGCCTGCTTCTGCACCGCCTTCGAGGCCGAGGTGCTGCACACGGTGCTGGCGGGCCGCCTGCTGCCGCCCGGCGCCGTGGTGGCCGTGGGCGCCTCGGGCGGCAAGGACTCCACGGTGCTGGCGCACGTGCTGCGCGAACTGGCGCCGCGCCTGGGCGTCTCGCTGCGCCTGGTGGCCGTGGACGAGGGCATCGGCGGCTACCGGGACGCGGCGCTGGCGGCCGTGCGGCGCCAGGCGGCGCGCTGGGACCTCCCGCTCACCGTGGTGGCCTACGCCGACCTGTTCGGGGGCTGGACCATGGACGCCGTGGCCCGCAGCACGGCCGGCTCCGGCCGCAGCCGCGCCTGCTGCACCTTCTGCGGGGTGCTGCGGCGCCGCGCGCTGG